CATGCTGTGATTTTCATCTATATATCTATACACACACACACACACACACACATATATATATATATATATATACATTGTACATTGTAAAACATTGTAAAAAGTCATATTCAAATTATTTTAACAATCAATTTTTGAATATACAATTCTATGATAAAATTTAAACAACTTGCTTTTTAAATAAATGATATTTTAATGAATCGTTTTTATATTTTCATTGCTAACTTGCGTTTGCATTCAGCTGCTGCTGTTTGATGTTGAGGTGTTGTTATTCCATGAAGTCCGTATTTTGAAAGTTCGCGTGAGTTCGAAACAATACCACGTTGCCGATTGATTGTTTCAAAAGAGCTTGAGAACTGACAGTAGCGTTGAAAGTAGGTTTTATGCAGACTGAAATAAATAATTTATCGTAAGTGAAAGTTGTACTGGAACCAAGAATATAATTTTAAAAGTTTTACATGCGAATATTTTTGACTTGAACATCGGTGTTGGTACAGAGGTACAAGGATTTACAACAATATTAATTATTAAAAAATAGGTCCAATCACCAACTAATCTGGATATAAGATTTTTCATAATGCTTTTGAAGCATGCAACATCGAGACAAGAACTAACAATGCAAACTTTTGATTCATTCTTCAAACTCCTGAACAGTTTGATTTCGACAAATGATTTTGTGACTTCAAATCTTAAATCAACCAAACGTTTTATCCTTAAAAAATATCTTAATATCCTAAATATCCTTAATCGGTTTATGAATTCCAAAAAAAATAAATTTTTACAGATTGGTCAAAAATTTTAAATGTAATAAATATTAATTATATACTTATATTATTATCCTATTATCTTACATGATTCCTCCTATTATCCTACCTAATTCTAAAACTTTTGATGTTTCTCACAAGTTTTGTAGTCTAGGCATTATCTTTGATTCTAGTATGTCTCTTTCTTTTCAGATTAATAGTGTTGCTAGAAGCTTACTTTCATCTACGTAGAATAAAAAAACTTTTGCCTTTTCTTGATGATCTTACTCTTTTCCTTCTGTTACATCGTTAGTCTTATCTAGGATTGATTACTGTAACTCGCTCTACTATGGTCTTCCTGATTCTATACTCTATCTTTTAAGCAAAGCTTTAAACCCCTGCTGCTCGTCTAGTTGTTCTTGCCTCTTTCTTTTCTCATATCTCCATATCTTGTTCTCTTGCACTGGCTTCCTATAAAATATAGAATAATTTTTAAAATTTGCACATTTATGTATAAGTTTCAATCTAAATTATTTCCTAAGTACTTATCAGATATATTAATTGAACCTAAACGTCCCTGTTTACGATTGTCTTCTTGTTCTCACTTCTTCTTATCTCGTGTTAAACACTCTTTTGCTAAATCTGCTTTTGCTTTTTCTGGCCCTTTTCTCTGGAACTCTCTACCTACTTCTCTGACTACTTCTCCATCACTTACAAAGTTCAGAGTGGATCTCAAGACCCATCTGTTTGCAAAATCAGGCGAACGTCCAAACGATGCCGATCATTAATTTATTATCCTTATGATTTTGGAGAAAGCATCCAACGGATTGAAATGATTCACAAAGAAATTAGAATAGAGTATTTTTTAAAATAAAAGTTAATTTAATTTAATATTTAAAACTGTTTCAGACTCTGAAATAATTCGACGTTTTGTTTCATATGAAAAAAAACATTTAAACTTACTTGACTTAAACATTGAAACATTTAGAAAGATTGTTGTTTACATGTTTGCAGAAAGTCGTGTCAAATAAATAATATGCGTTTGTTTCTGCTTCCATTATTATGTCGTTAAACTTTCAATATAATAAAGTAAGATTTAAAGATCATATCTTCTTGAATAAAGCCTTCAACATTGCTTCTCTTGTTAAAAATCAACTTTTAATTTGAACCACATATTTGCAGTTGGAGAATTCGTTGAAATCCTATTCCTTTTAAACTGTTCACATGCACGTTTAGAGACTCGTTACAATTTAGAAATAGGCCACTGTAATGGAAATTGTTCCATTACATGATCACGTGGATTAAGTACTAGCACAAAGCACGTGTGCTTACCTAGGAGAGAGCGCCGTATGGTCACGTGGGTCGATTACTAAACCAAAGTACAAGCGCTTACCTAAGAGAGAGCACCGTGCATGTCTATAAATAGCCTACGCAAATAAGTTAAGCTCTCTTTCTTTTCTGTGGCTCTTGGGCCGGAGTTGACGTTAGTAAAATTGTGTATTGTATCGTTGCATTTTCGTTAATTTGATTTATTTGAATAATTATTTAGTAAGGTTTTAATAAAGGAGGATTAATAATATATCTGTCGTTGTGTTTAGTTAATATCGAACAGAAAGCAGAAACTTTTAGAATTTAGCTCCTAAAATAATAAATCAGTTCAATATTACAATTCACAATTTTGTCAAACTAATCATTCAAGTATTATTTCATTAATTTTATCCAAATTTAACGGGTGTTATATGAGAAATTTTTGCAAAATCTCTGCACTTACGAGAATGTACGAATGTGTAGATCAGGGGTGGGCAAACGTTTTGCTGTGAGGGCCGCATTGAGAACTATTTACCGTTGAAGGGCCGCATATGTACTTTAATAGCAAAGGAGAATTTTTTTAAGATTTGTGGCTTTTTTCTTCTTTTATTTTGGTAGACATGTCTGGCTGACAATCTTTTTTGTGGCGAAGGCCGCATGAAATAGCATCGCGAACAGTAGTTTGTCCACCTCTGGTGTAGATTAAAAATTTTGTTACTTTTGAGAATTATACTTGGTAGTTTTTGTTTGTATTTAGTACTCTGAAGTTTCTGTTACTTGAGTCTTCTTGCTACATTTGTTTGGACGCCTCTGTTTCCTAATTTATTTTATGTTTTAAATGAGCCTGGTTCCAATTTTCTTCAAGATGAATATATAATATTATATAATTATTGAATCACAAAAAAGTCTAATCAAAGTTTAAATTGTGTATCAAGTTTCATTTCATAAAAATATTAAATCGAATCTCTAATTTTCATTAATAATTTAGCCGCCGTGTATTGATCTCAAGCCTAACGGTAACTGTCAAAACGTTTGTCAACTGTCAAAGCTCTACAAGCTATGATGGATGTATTCTTAGCTGCCCTTTTGTTCATGCAGACGCACTGCTTGTTGTCCTTCAGCAGGTTTGGACAGATCTTGCTCGGAGATTTTACGCAGTTGCCACTGCCAGCTTTGAAGCAAACCTTGCAGTTCGAGGCGCACGGCAGCCAAAGTTTTCTAGCCAATCCCGATGTTGCAGGTGAACATCTGCTTCAGTCTTAATTCAAATGAAATAATTAATTCATGCAATTTATACACGCTAAATAGTTGATTGACATGGAGGGAAAAATAATTATCCAGTGATGTTTTGTTGCAAATTTACGTTGATGCAGCAGCAGATGACTAACCACCCCAGCAGCCTTTGATACTACACACGCAACTACCTCTGCCTCAGACAACAAAAACTACTTTCATGTTCGCCGTTTTAAAAATAAATTTGTAAAACGTTATCTAAAAAATGATCAGACTGCTTTTGAACTGTTTGAAGGATATCTCGAATTTATAAAAAGGTATAATTGATGATGATGAATTATGCTCATGTGAATGTATACGTATGTGTGTGTATATGTATATGTATGTGCGTGTGTGTATGTATGCATGTATATATGTATGTAGCATGATGTATGTATGTACGAGCCCATGGTTAAAATGTATGCATGTATGTATGTACATACGTATGCATGTATGTGTGAATGTAAAAAATCATTTCTAAACATTAATTAGGAGCCGGATCTTAACAATTACCATCAACCTTCTTAACATAAAAACATTAGCTTATCCAAACAACATTCAACACACGTAGGTAATTACCGTTATTAATTAGTTAGTAAGTAGCCAATTAATTTGAAGCAAACAACAATTACATGCTAATTCAGATCATTCACAAATTTTCATACACAAATAGATTGGTTTATTTTGTTCTGGGATAAAGAGTTTTATTATGAATTATACATTAGCTTGCATTATACGTTAGCTTTCTACTTGGATATTTGTTAACAAAAGTTAGCTGGTAAGGGATATACATATTGATTAATATGTTATTGTGGTTGTTTTAATACATAAAGTTACAGAACTGTTTGAAGCAAAATGGTTTTATCAACGAAAAACATCATTGTGTTGCTGCTGTGTTTCTCTGCCTTCCAACTCTTCAGCAATTGCCACGTTAATGGCTTGCCTCTTGAAAATAGTCTGTACATGTTTTCATAATTTTAAAAAAATGATTTATGAACAAGAATTTTTTAACGTATTCATAATTTATTCTAAATCGTAGTTATGAAACAATTTTGTTGCAATTTTTTTGATTTGTCAAATGTGAGTGGCTAATTAATTTCATTTATTTATTACATCGCGACGATCAATAATTTTCCAATAACAGGAATCAGAAGCGCTTAGTTCCACTGCTGGTTTATCAAATTATTCTGAATGAACTTGATTCAAACGTAAAGACTAATTGGTTTTAGCTTGGTTGATGTTCACATACATCTGCACTTATCTATTTTTGTAGGTTTGAACATAATATTATTTGTAGGTTTAAACATAAGTTTCAACATATTATATGTTACTTTAGTCCAAAAAGAAGTACTCTTATGATATTTTATAATATGTTTGACAGTGCTAGTACAGATAAATAAAAATGAGGAAATTAAGTTGAGCATTATTTTTGCTAAATTTATAAATTGTAACGTATAAAAATTGTTACGGAGTGCCAACGAAACCAACACAAACAGGAGGAAAGAATGTGTGGGTTCCTCAACTACTACCACATGGGTGAAAACCTTTCAAACATCGCCTCCTGTTCGATGGGTTGGTAGGAAGTTTCTCCTTGTGAGAATTGAAATATAGATAAATTTAATTAAGTATAGATTTTCGTTTTTAAAACAATTTTTATAACTTCTGTTTTTTGAGAGAATGAAGCAACAGAATCGGCAGACTTGCAATGGAAAAGTTTTCAAAAGTCTGGCGTTGTTTTGGTTTTGGATGCTTTTTTTAGGGACTGATTTTAAAGAACGTGCATAAAACATAATACTTTCTCAAACGGTCTTTAAATTTTCAATCTACATTTTTCCTTTTGTTTCATTATAGATTTTTGACAAGTGTATATAAAACTGTTTACATATTTTTTTTACTAACTTGGTTACAGAACAAAAGCTTTAACATCCGCAGCACACGTGTTTTAAACTGATAATATTTGAACCATGTATTCGCACAATTACCACAAGGCAAAACGTGGCACTTCAACCGTCTGTGTTAACTTACCAAACTCTACTCTTCATTGGATTTTGAATTAACATGCAAAATAATTTGTTTTGTTTTTTTTATAAACATTACTGTTGGCTAGCTTACATTTTATAAGTTGCTAGTGGCGAAAAAAGCATTAAGCCACCTTTCAATTTGTATAGCGTTCAGCTACCCATCAATCATTTATCAATAGATTAACCAATTTATTACAATAATGAAATAGCATATAATAATAAAAAAACTAGTTAAGTAAACTTTTCACTAAGACAGTAAGCCAACATGCTAATTATATAACAAATACATTAAACAAAGATAGTACATCTTTTCTTGATTTCAGAGCCAATTTAGATGGATGAACACTTGGCATGTGTTGGAAAATCATCATATTTCAATAGTTTAGATCAAAATTAGTTACCATTATCAAATAAAAATCTAGAAAAAAAATTTGCTATCGATTCATAATACCAAAGCCAGTACTAATTCGTTTACCTTTTCTAATACAGGCAATGGCAGAAGAAGTTATGAGAAGAAAGAAAGTTATCTCAAAACAGAAACCGGAGTATTCCACCCATCCAAAGCTGAACATAGAGACAGAAAAATGAAAACCTCACAGCCAGCAGATTACAAAAAGAGTGCTGATTACTCCGATAAATACATTTACGTACTTGGTCGATCTAAGAAAATATCCATAAACTGATAAAAAATAAATCGTAATTATATGATCTACCATATTCTTCACACATAGGTTGATGCATTTTTATCTGTGTAAATGTGGCAATTACAAAATTATATATTACGTTTTACCGTTTTACGATGCTGTTTCATCTCAAATGACAAGGTTATTGAACTTAACTAAAATCTAGATTCATAATTTTTTTTTCTGAAAGATTTTCGAAGTTTTAGCTAGGTTGTAAATTTTGATAAAAAAAAATTTTTAACTAAAAATTTATTCAGATGTAAAATTTGTCTGATTCATGCAAAGATGCTTGTCACAATACATTCAATTTTTTGTTGAAATCTGCATTGATCTGAATGACTTTTCACTTATTGCAATACAATTTATTAAATTAACATTCTAATTAATTAAAACAAATTATTCTTTATTTATGAAAACAAATTTTTTTCAATTCAGTTTTTGGCTTTTTTCAAAACGTTTTCCACATAGCCTTTCTTTCTTTCTTTCTCGCACCTCTTCCTTTCAGGACATTGGCGACCATCGACCTTTACAAAAACCCGATCTTTAACACTTTGTAATAGTTGAAGTGTGGTGATGGTGGTATACAATAAGTGACACAAGGACTTCACGAATGTTATTCGTTGTTGACCGCGATCTCTTTTCCCTGCAATCTTTCCAGTAGATGTATGATTTTCTATTCTTTCCTCCCGCATGATGTGACCAAAAAATAAAATGTTAACTGCTTCCGTCGGATTATCTGTAGTAATTTCTTCTTTTCATAAGTCTAGCCACTCAATGCAATTCTGGTATGGCGATACAGGTTCGAGATCCCCGCCATGCATGCATGCTTTCAGAGGCATGGTTTGTTAGTATGGGCGTTAATTCCTCATTGAATTTTGGGGACACAAACAAATTCAGAAATCAATTTCTTAGTTGATTTGAAATTTGTTATTCTTCCTAATTTCTTAGCTTATTTATGATTTTCTATTTATATTACAATGGTGAAGCTATAAACGTTTTTGGAAAACTTAATGGTCTTTGTTTTATTGATAGTAACAAAAATTGACATATCTTCAACCAATTTTTCATATATTAACATGAAAATTATATAAATATATTTTAGTATAGACAGTGATTTATCGCATATATTAATGGAAAAACTCTTTAGTAACATGGCAAATTGACTTTGAATTAAAACCAGCTGGCAATGAAAACGACTGCTAAAATATTTTCCAACTTGATAGTGGTGTTCCATAAAGACATGAAACTTTTCACGCTTACGTCATTCATTGTTGACGGTTACGTTTGTCTTTATTTACATTTTAATTTCGACACCTAGTTATACTTACTTACTGAAGTGCGACGTTCTACGCTGAAAATAATTTTTGTTTTAGAGTTAAGGAAACTTGAATCGGCGTTAAAATTCAACTAAAAATTTAAGAACATTAACTTTCTAGATTGCACTAAACTAAACTCTCGTTTCATTATTGTTTTTTTAAATGTATGATTAGCATTAGGGTATGATTATCCGCAAGAAAGTGTCAGTCATAATTATTTATTTAATTAGTTGCTCACCGATAATTTCGTCACTAGTAAAAGAAAGGAAGAATATCTTAGTCGGTTTTCAAATTTGATTTTTTTAAAAACTATCATTTATTATTATTAATCTTTAGTTTCAATTTAATTATTATCATTAACTTAGCCTCATTTAATTACTATACCAGATACCTACTAAACTAACTAACACCGAGATGTCATATGTTGTAAAGACTTTATATACAGTGGTCGATGAGTTAGCTCAGTTAGGTAGAAGTGTCATATCTCGTCTTGTGATTGCCTGGTTCGAATACTACATGTCCGGAATTCAAAAGTATTTCATACTTTGCTTTTGATTTGCAGTTTTTTCGCGTGCCAAGGAACTAATAAAGGACATTTTACTATCAGTTCTAAATATCGCAACCAATGAAACAAAAAGTCGAAATTTCAAGAGGCACATCCATTTCAACAGCAGGCTAGTGTAGATTGTACCTACATATTGAAAAATCATTCAATTAAAAAACTCTTCTTCATCTACAGATGCAATTTATGGATGTTTTCACAAGTTGATTGAAAGCGATATGCAACAAAATTTCGATTTATCATACGTACAATGCGGACAAGTCAGCAAACCTAAACGATAGAGATTTGCTGCTGTTAAAGTTGGTTCAAACTACTTTTAAAACAGTTTTCAGTTCAATTACACTTATACTCCCCCATGAACTAAACAAATTAATTTAAAATTTAAACTTTTTAATATGTTATATTTTCAAGGACCAAATTTTTCGTTAAGCACTTTATTGTACAAAACTTCATAAATACTATTATTTAAATGAAAAGTTTGTTTCATAGTAGCAGAGTTAACAGAATTTTATTTCTCAAGACAGTTGATTCGAAAGTGAAATTCAGCCGATCGTCGGAACATCATCATTTTTGCAAGAATGGTCTTGAAAAAGCATCGGATACCAAGCGCAATTCGTTCGAATGTCTGCCAGGTTGGTCAGGCATCTTGTGTGAAAAACAGAGTAACAAATTTCGTATCTTGCAACATAACAGCACCAAAACGTCAAAACCTCACAACAACTAACCGAAAAATTAAATATCCTTAAAAATATTTCTAACGTATTTCTGATTTGTCTGCACTCAGTGATTATACCTAACTATCCTTCCTTCAACCTGCAACTTCTTATGATTGCTTCACACAGGTAACTTTTATTATTAATTAAAAGTTAACTTTTCCAACACAATGGTTTTGTCACAACATCATTAATAATAGTGAACAATTTTGAATAATTTTAAATTTATTCTCGCCACAAGGTTTATGTCATGTGTTAGTCTAAACTATTTCTGACAATTGAATTAATGGAAACACTGATAAGTGTTGTAACCACAAAGTGCAACTTTAAATTATCTACGTTACATTAAAAGAAAGCTAAAAAATAACAAAATTTACCTAGCAAGTAACACCAAATAAAAGTTACAACGCATCAACAACATTAATAATAATTATACAAACGACATAAAAACTGACTTGGAAAAACAGAAAGATACAACAACATCAACAACACAACAATAACGTCAACAACATCATCAATAACAACATCAACAACAGCATCATCAACAACACAACATCATCAACAACAGCAGCAGCAACAAACAACAACCAAACATAACCGACAAAATCAAACTAGATGTAAAAACTCAAGCGGCGTAAAAATGTAGGCAAACGCAACATAACAACTTATTTATACCATATTCTTACACGATAATTTCACTAATCAACTATCAATAAAATGATTCACTAGTTGGAATATACGAAGTGGCCCGAGTTCCAAAGTTAAGTGATTTAATACGTTCGGGTTTGTGATGCCTTTTTCCACGTATACACGAAGTACGTCGTGAAATTTCTTTAGATTACATATGACTCAATGTTGCTAGCGGCGTTCCTTAACGAATTTTGTAAGCATGTATTCATTTGAAAATCGTCCTAAAGATTTTTAGCGATTCAAAAAATCGTAAAATCATGCGTAAAAAATTGAAAGAACTTGTCTATTAAATCAAAAAAACTACTATTATATTCATACATGTCATGTGGTGTCACGTAATCATTTCTGAGCTGGCTCTAACAATCACTTTTTTATGATAACTTTCACGGACTTTCAGGAGCCATTTCTTAAACGGATATTTTTACAAATTCTGGTTAATAATAAACTGATGGACCAGCTTTTTTTAAAGTTTTTTCTAGTTCGTCCAGAAGTCTTTTTACTCAGCGGTCAATATTTAAAAATTCTTTTCGGGACTATGCACTCGTTCATTCATAGCACATGATTATGTTTACCAATTCACATTTTCATATATTGATTAGTTCTACCCACTGTATTATTAGATTACACATATTTGTTATACTAAATCTCATACTTTAAGTTTTGTTATACACGAGGAATAAAATAAAATAATTTCATAGTGGTACAAACGGGTGAGGATCGCAAAATCGGCTTGAAAAAGATTGGTCACCGCCCACTCAGATTTTGACTCACCAATCTATTTAACAACCGCTTCATTAAATATTCATATCTAAATATAAAAAAAACAATTCAAATAATAAATAATCTGAACTAAATTGCAGTAGGAATAACACTTATCCTTTTCATTCATGATATGCTTTTCTATATTTCTGATATCCTTGGTGTTTGGAGGGCACTGGCGTATTTTAAAAACGTACTGGTTTTCCACAGTGCTAAATTGAAATTCGCAGGCAAACCACAAGCAACCATTAATTAATTAACTAACGTTTGTTTACGAAGGCCAGATCAAAAGTCGCGATGAGAATATAAAAATTAAAAGCTTTAATTAGATTAGATTAGAGAAGAAGGAAAATGATAAAGAACATGAGTGGCGGCAGAACGACGAGACTGTTGAAGATGATCATCATGGGAGCACCTGGCTCTGGGAAGGGAACCATTTCAAAAAGAATTGTCAGTGATCTTCACCTTCATTTCCTCTCAAGTGGGGATGCACTGCGAAATGAGATTGAATCAAAAAACGGTGTGTGACATTTTATTTGGCAAACTTCACTTTCTTGGCTGCCATATAATATAAATATTTAATTATTAAATTTTAATATATATATAAGATAAGTATACTTTATTTTATACTATATTATATTAAACTTTAAAGTATAGCTAGGTTACTTAATATAAGTAAGAATGTTACTGTTAGTGTTGTAATTGTAAGATATATTTAGTTGCATAGTTTGCATTTAAAATTTCTTAATTAATTAATTAAGTTTAGTTTACTTCACTTACTCTTTAGTAGTTTTAGTTCTTTACTTTAGTTTAGTTAGCTTAAGTCTTAATTAATGATAGACTTAATCACTTAACTATAGCCTATCATTAGCGATTAGCCTTTGTTTGAATAATGAATATATTATATAATAAGTATAATTATTAGTATTAAATTTATTAATATAATATTTATATTAAATATTTATAATTTATAATATTTATTAATATACAATTTAAATAATAAATTAATTATATGAATTGACTAACTAGAAGAATAAAATAGAAAGTAATAGTGGATTTATTTATTTATTGTGTTTTAAAGTAGTTTGTTCATTTTTAACAGTGCTTCTAGAGCTAGATTTGACAGATGGAAAAGTGTTATTGAAAAGAAAGGGTTAAAAGTTAATATTGGTAAGACGAAGGTAATGGTGAGTGGGGAAGGTGGGGAGCGAGTGATAAGTAAAATAGACCCCTGTGGGGTATGTGACAGGAGAGTGAAGGCTAACTCGGTATTGTGTATAGGATGTCAGAAATGGGTGCATAAGAGATGTAGTGGTGTGAGGGGGGCATTGAAAAAGGTGGAAGGCACGTTCAAATGTAAGAAATGTGTTCATGGTGTGATTAATAGGACGGACGCAAGGACGGGGTTGAGTGGTGGTTTTGAAAGAGTGGAAAGCTTTGTTTACTTAGGGGATAAGCTGAATGCGGATGGGGGATGTTTGAGCGCAGTTACGGTTAGAGTTCGTGTGGGATGGATGAAATTTAGGGAACTGGGTGGGGTATTGTGTGGAAAGAAATGGTCAGTGAAGATGAAAGGAAGGGTAGCGCAGCGATGTGAGAGCAGCGATGGTATATGGTGGTGAAACTTGGGTGTTGAGGAGAGAGGAGGAAAGTGTACTGCAGAGGGCTGAAAGAGCTATGGTGAGGATGATGTGTGGTATGGACATGTGTTGAGAAGGGATGAAAGGGTCAGGATTAGGCAAGCGTTGGAGTTCGAGGTTGAAGGAGTGGTAGGAAGGGGTCGTCCGCGATTGGGATGGAGAGAGCAGGTGGAGAAGGACAGGGTGAAAGCGGGGTTGCGTGATACTGAGGCGAGTGACAGATGTGGATGGCGTCGAGGGGTATTTCGGTTTCATCATAGGTAGCCAAACGGCAACCCCCAATCTCGGGGAAAATGCCGTCTAAACGTGTGTTGTTGTTGTTGTACTAGAGCTAGATTTACTATCATTAAAATTGTTAATTGCGTTTTTTATTATATCCACAGTGTACTTTATATTTGTAGTGTACTTTACACAGATAGAATTCTAAATTAATACTGTTGTGTATTGTTTGTATGTTATATATGTGTGCTTATACATGAAATCCAATCTAATCTGATTTTTATACATTAATATTTTTATTAAAAGATGTTGGTCGATTATGTGAAAAGTACATGAAGAAGGGTTTGCTGGTACCCGATGAGATACTCGATCGGATTATCTTTGATAAGTTGAAATCATTCAAGGATGCTGGCTGGCTCCTTGATGGTCAGACACATTCATTTGCATCACATTAAATTAACTTCACTCTTGTTCACTTGTTCTTATAAACAAAAGTCAGTGATCAGTTTCTCGTGTTTTCGCTCATGAGCATTTTGCCATGCATTAAATCATGCTTATTCGCAAAGATTGTGTAACTTCGTTATCAATGCTTCAGATTCTGAAAAGTGCAGGAGAGAGAATAATTGTTTTGTCACGAATTGTGCACATCAATTTAAATCTCGAGATTAACTTATTTTTTATGAATGGTGCTCTATTTTTTCTGTTCTCAATCATTCCAATCGCTTGGGGATTTTGTTTGATAAAAACCCAGATTATCATTTGTGTATTGTATTAATTTTTAATTTAGTTGACCACACCTTTCATGAACACAAACATGAACAAACACATGAAAACAAACATACACAAACACGAAGACACAAAGACGAAGGAACACTCAATTATCAACAGGAACGCAGATACATGAACACAAACATGAAAATGAACATGCAAACAAACACTGACATGAACACAAACATGAGCGTGCACACAAACTCTTACATGAATGCATGAACATGCAGGTTTTCCTCGCACCCTCACTCAAGCCATCGCCCTCTACAGAGAAGAACTCGTCCCCGACCTTGTCATTGACCTTCAAGTGCCCTTCGAAGTCATCATCGACCGACTGAAGGACAGATGGGTCCATCCTGGTAGTGGCAGGATCTACAACTTGCAGTACAACAAACCAAAAATTCCTGTTGGTGCATCTGTGGTTGTCTTTGTTGTTTTATATGGATTGGTTTGTTGTATGACTTAATGGTAGACATTTGTTGTTGTTGATATGTTGGCTGGTTGGGAATGTGGCTTGTCATTACAACAGGCTTTTGTCTGTTTAAAATGTGCTGAATGTCTTTACTGGATTTAGTATTAAATTCATAAACTGAGTTTTGAGGCCTGGAAATGATTATTTTATTTTTGGAATAGTAGTAACGATGTCGACGATGATGATGAAGTAATGATGAAGATGACATGATAAATAAGCAGATGAGTTGTTACTTTGCAGGGTTTGGATGACTTGACAGGTGAGCCACTGATCCAGCGACACGATGACCAACCCGATACTGTCCTCGCTCGATTGGAACATTACAAAGAACTCACAATTCCTGTCAGTGAGTTCTTCAGGTTTGATCATGGCTTCATTGTTTTTTGTTTTTAACATTTCTCATCAATGTTGTCAGAATATTTGTTTACATGCTTATGCGTTAGTGTATGTCTGTATTTGTGTTCCATTCATATTCAACAACACATCACCACATGTGGCAATATTTAAAAGTTTCGTCAGTGTCATCATCTTACAACAACAATAAAATCAAAACTGGATACCCACCAAATATTAGAGTTTTTAGCTGTGGTTATTTTTAAAAGCTGAATAGCTGAATATTGCAGTTACCGTTTTAGCCGTTTCGGCCACTATTTTTTCTGCTTCCAGAACAGTATTTCCTGATTATTATTAGCAAGAAATTTATTTTGGCCATCATTAAAACATCTAAAGTTGGCAAGAGGTTGATTATTACCTTGAAAAAGAATTGGACAGTTAATGAATATTTTCCTCTATAGCTTGTTTTTCATTCTAAAAATTGGAATTTGTTCAAAATGTTGGGTCGTTAAATATTTGGCTTTCGGCTTTGGTTGAAAAATGGATCAACTATTTGCTGCATCTCTAATAAGAACTAAAACAAAAATAACAACAGTAATGGCTTGTTACACATCACTGACTAACTGTAAAACCAGCAACATAAACATCAACAATGACAACATCAACATAAACATCAACAATGACAACATCAACAACTTAACACCAACAACAACAACCACAAAAAAACAGAGATCGACACAAGCTGGTCTCATTTACGGGATCCGAGTCGGACGTCATCTGGCCCGAGATCAGAAAGTACTTGCACGACTATCTAGACAGGAGGCAGGCTGAAGATGAGTCACAAATTTATCTCTGATGACGACGACAACGACGATGGTGGTGATGTTGATGATGATAATGATGATGATGTTATTGAGGATTTGGATTAGAATGACGATGATAAAAAAAATGATTTGATGTTGGATGCTATTTACCAGTTTAGTTTAGTTTTGCCGGTCAGCACATTTAACGAACACCAACATTTTAGAAATACATTAGAGATAACGCGTCTTCGTGTTTTGCCGCCTGAAAATGTTACTACCATAATTTTTTATACCCCCCTCCCCTCATCATCATTTTGATTGAGATTATTTTTTGATGCTTTTCTCTTTCAAGAGTTTTGATTCTGTGGGAATCACTTATGTTTGGCTCGTATGACTGCATTGAATTCTTAGGCCTTTTTATAAATGACTTATCACATGCAGTATATGATGTTAAACATGCAGTTGTACAATTCAATTCATTCTTTGTGATATTATTTACAACATCATTCATTTCTTGCTGTTGTTTCAGTATTAATGATAATATGATATCATCGACATCATAATGATAATAACAAATCATACTATCAACGAATGATAATAGTATCAACAGTAATAATAATCAATAATAATATCATCAACTTATTAGATAATAGCATATCAATATAGTACTATCAATGTGATATCATCAACATAAAAATATTGATATGATATCATCAACGTATTAATATAAATATTGATACGATATCATCAACATCGGCATCGATCACTCAATTAACTTAATTTAATTTGGTAGTAAGCTTGTTGCATACAAATTTAGTTACATGAATGCTATCCACCCGTTGTGCTGCAGCTAATAACAAACTAGTACTGCTATATCGATGAGTTCTTTTGTATTGCTTCGTGTCTCCATACTGTCATTTCATCTCAGTTGTGTTTTCATTTCTGTGTTTATTCATTCATTTTTTCATTCATTCTTCTTATTATTATTATATTATTTCTTCATTCATTCAATTATTCATTCAATCTTTCAAATATTCATTCAGGCATTCTCTTCTCTATTTAAAAGTCTGAGTTGAGCTTTACATTTGTTTTGTTTTGATGATTGCCTTCTTTTGTGTGCATCATCGTTCTACTTTTCTGACGTTATTTTATTACATTTTTCACAACAGCGTTGTGAATATATATGGTGCATATATACATATATACATATATGTATATACAACAAATATATATATTTTTGTATTGTATATGTTTATTTATAAATAAATAAATTTATTAAATTAAATTGGGAAAATATTATGTATAGATTTAATCATTTGTATTGATGCCTTACCTAGGTGCTTATGGAATGTGCCTTCATGTTGAACTTTTTTGTTGCAATTTATTTTATACAGATATTTTTTTATTCAATGAATTATTTCATCGGGGTCTTTTGTCTTCATGTAATCTTATGATGAAATTCTTGAAAACCATAAATATAGAAAGTCAAACTGAGTTTCTTCATCTATGGTGGAAACCCAATTGTCCAAGATTTTTATTGGAGACGGATTTTTTTAGGGATATTTTTCATCTGACTCAGAAAATTGTTAAGAGTTTGAAAATTTTTAAATTTGTTCATTTTAAAATTTTTTAAGATCGTGTTTTTATCGTGTATAGCGATACCAAATCATTTTATTGCTGAAAAAATGCTTATAATGTGAATCAAATCACATAATTTTTTATAAGTACTATAACATAAATGTAAAAAAATTCTAATAAGAAAAAACAATTAAATTTTTAACAATTAAATTTTAAGTATTTTAAAAGTATTTTTAATGTATTTTTCATTTATTAGTGGTATTTATTTACAATTAGCCTATATTTAGCAGAAGTTGAAAAATTTTTCTGGAAGTTGGAACCCGGAATCGAAGTCGGAAAATTTTTCCTGGAGTTGGAAAATTTTTAATCCGACTTCGACACCCCATAGGAGTCTTATAAAGGTTATGGAAGTTAATAGCTATCAAGAAGTCAGCGATAAGGCTGCACATACATCGGTACCATACCAGCCTTATTTTCAAGTAACTCCGATTTTTGTTGCAATTTAATATTTATATTTATTTTCATAAAATAACATAATGTGTTTGTATTTGATAGTTTTTTAACGGTTATGTGTAACATGTTTCATTTGTTTGCACAAATCCGCTTAATTTAAATGTTTTCCTGCAAGTATTTAACTGTAGAACTATAGTTTATTAAAATTTTTTTATTATTATTGTTAATCGATTCATGTTATTTTGATTTTTTGTCAAAAGCGAATGCCATTCAAATTGCCAGACATATTGTTGCCGTGTTGTATAGTTTGTACAGCTGACAATTTTTCAATAAATAATTCATATCCTTCCTCTAATCTGGTTCAGCTTTCACAAACTTAACGTTATAATTTATTCTAATTTAATGTTTCCACAAATCTGCTTGAATATTGAAAATCAATCAAGTAGAGTTATTGTACTTCGATTGTAAATACATTTGCCAGCTTATATATTTGACATTATATTGAATAGAAATTAATTTTTTGTTCACGTTGTCATTACGAATGCATAATATAATATTATTGTTTTTATTGTCAAATCATTTTTCCATATTTCAAGTTCATGAGGTGTTTTGCATGTATTGTCCATTTATTCATTTTCCAGACTTTATTAATTATCATTTAAATTGAAAAAAATAAAATTACTTACCAAACCAATGATGTGAAATTCTCGCGAATTTAATTATGATATTTTCGGAGGTGGTTTGTTGTGCTTGTAACTAAAATTTAACCAACTAACCAACCAACCACACAAAAGATTGCACATTGGTGTGATGCTTTCTTACCAACTTCATTGCTATTGTTTTAGCTGTCATTCACTTTAATCCATATATTTTTGGATTCCTTGTTTTGTGCAAAATGTATTTAATAAAGAAATAAACTTTATGATACAAACAACAATTTGTAGAGTCCTATTCTACTTTATACCCATGATTAAATTTCAAACTGGAAACAAATCAAATAGCTGTTTGACGACCCGTTTGAACCATTGAATAAATTTTATTTAAAAACAACATTTTTGATGATCATTGTTCAAATACTTTTCTTGGCGCCCTTTGTTAATCAATATCGTAAGCCAAAATTTTTACTTGTGCCATCTAATTGGATGATGAAAATAGCCACCAAGAGTACTGCTTAGTCTTTAATGGTAGGTTATAACATCCATGCACTTCTTTTTTTTATTATTCTTTAAAATTAGGATCTGACAGACGCAGAAACTGTTACTGCATGCTTATAACTTGTAACTTCTTGATCTCGCTACCGCAACCACAACTTCTGTCGCACCTGGAGCGAAGTAAAGAGCAAGAAGTTAAAGTTTCTGAAGACTGCCAGCAATGCGACGGTCACTTTATGTTGTATTCTCTATATTATATTTTTATATAATATAGAAATGTTATTATTCCCTATATTTTCGGCATTGGTTTGAGTAGTTTTACAAAGTGACCAAACCGTTTATTCGATGAAAATAGTTAATTTTTCGTAGATTTATTGATATATTAAAAATTCTAACTCTGCGGCTGTCGATAGTTACCTTTCGTAGTCATCCACGCTAGTATAAGTGTCAGTGAGAGTGTCATAATTTGTGCTGTCAACACCACTATTGTTTCCATCATCGTATTTCTCATCGTCAGTGGTTCTTTAAGCGTCATCGCAGCTGCTACCACGCACATCGTCTGGCCTACCAATAACAACCTGGCTGTTTCCAGCTTCACTGATAACAATATTACCTTCCACAACAATATTATCAATATCATTATTTAATAGTTTCAACCAGTGGCGGATCTAGACAACTTTGACCGGGGGGGGCCAAAATTTTAAAAATGCTTAAAAGTTTAAATTTTTTTTCAAATTTGGACAGGGGACCAAGATTTGTGGTAGCGTGGCCAAAATTAGGCTGGCGACATTTTTTTGATATAAAATAGTGTTTTTTATGCCGTAGCTGAGTTCTTTTAATAAATATACTGCTCACAACTAGGTGATGGTTTCTCCGGCCTTACCCCAAGATGTATATGAATGAATATGTATAATACATATACATTCAGTGGCAGATCTTGTACAATGTACATTCAGTACTGTATTTTAATAGCGCTCTGAAATACCCCTGATTGTTACCAGATTTAAAATCTAATGCACCGTCATCCCGGTGTCCACGCAAAGCAAAATTTTGTCTTCCACAAAATTTAATAGTTTCAATAATAGTGTTAAGCAATTTTCTGTTTTGCTCTATTTTTGAGGAAAGAGCGGAGTTTGATAACTTTAAAACATTAGTTTTATTTTTAATCAAACTCAGAAAAATTTTTGATTTTCTATAGCCTCTCAATGAAAAGGTGTCGCTTGATGACAGTGACATTGATCTAAAGCTGATTTATAACGATTTAAACAAATACTCCGGCTGAGCCACATGATGTGGATGTCGATTTGCATAAAGTACACAAAGCCTACAGAATGCTCCTTTTTTCCAAACCAGAATAAGACAGCCAGGAAAATTCTTGAAACCATTGGAATTTAAAAAACCGTTTTTTTTATCTTCTAACACAAATGGAAATTTATTATTCTCGTCAGGTTTCCATGGATTTTTCAAAAGATCATATCTTAAAGCATTCGAAATGCTTGGGATTTCTGCAGTGCATATTATCCAATATCTTAAGGTATTGTTTCCTTTGAAAAATTCTGACATGAATTACCAGTTTTGTCTGGAACATCAGTCATGTCATTGTTTAAATTTAATGAAAGACCTTCTTCCAAGACATCAGATTTTATAATTGCAATAAAAAACGTTGAGATTAAATTTTTTAATTTTCCTACCAGACCTGAATGGTTAAATAATACAAAATTAATTCAAGTCTAGTCAGGTAATGACTGGTACGCATTAATCCTAACCCAAAAAATGTTTTTATTATTCAGCTTATTGCTAATTTTTTTAGTTGAAAACACAAAATTATTTCATATGCAATTATTGAAATATCTAGGTATTACCATTAACGGCCTCAACTGTATTGAGATCATCGCACTGCTTTTGTTTTTTTTGCTGGAGTCGGTTGAAAAAAGTTTAAAATACTTTTTTTTTAAAGACATTTTTTTTTATGTTAAAACGAATTAAAATTCAAACTGATTTTATGAAACACAAAAAAATAATATAAGATGCGCCAAATCGTAAATGGAATAAAATGTTAACTGCGAACAAAACATAAAATTATGAAAAGTCTAAATAAGTAGACTATAATATTTTTTGATTTACTTTTTGTTGATATTAGTTTTCAATAAAAGTAATATACTAAGAAAACATGAATTATTTTTATTTTGTGCCGCAAAACACTATTTAAGTTTAAGTTAAATTCTGAAATAAACTTGTATCATATTTATATAATAAATCCACGTTATTTTTTATTGTTAAAAAGAGTCGAACTCAAAATTTTTTTTTTAATATTTAACGCTGTCTTGAATTGAACTGATGATATCGGCCCGCCCCCCCCCCCCCTCTAAATCCGCCACTGGTTTCAACGTCATCATCGTAATCATCATCATCAACGTATTTATTAATAATATCAACAGCATCGTCATCAGCAACTGTTTTTTTTGCTTATTATTTCTTTCAACATCGTCATCTCTGTCCTGAACTGATGATGTGTAAGATTCGTTCCATGGAGATTTTTCATCATTCAAATACCTGAGCAGATTGGTTTTCTGTACGATATTATCCTTCCTTCCTGTTTGCGTATCCATGTGAATTAAAAATGTAGAGACAGTCGTTGGTGACAATGCATGGAGACGTGTTGATCGACATTTTCAATCTCAACGCTACTGACCTAGACCACTGGTCAGTTTCACACTTATATATCTCTCCATCTTATACAGAATAATATTTAGATGAGTAATTCAAAATAAAATATTCACTGAAATAATTTAGAAACAAAGTTCTAATTTAACTTTGAATATTACATGTCTATTAAACAAATGTTACTTAATCTTGAAAAATAAGTTAAGAATAACCAGATACCTCAACATAACCAAATACTAAACCAAAAAATTTAAACCAAATGCAACACCATATATGGCATCATAGATCAAAGAAAACATCATCATCATTAGCAACAAGACAAATGACCAAGCTGATTATTGAGAAAATTTTGTAATTCTTCTTCACTTTCATTTTCTTTTACTTTCAGTTTTCAAGCGTTTTTATTGTTTCGAAAATTTTTAAGACTTTTTATTTAACTTTAGTGTAGGTATCAAGCTATCAGAGAAGTAATCAAAACAAGCTGTCTATTCTATACAACCATGAATTCCTATGCATTTGTTCAAGCAGTATTGTGTTTTTTGTCACTAAATAAATTTTTTTTGTTTGAGATCATTGAAAAAATTTAGAAATAAATATAATCCATGCAAAGAATTTAACAATGGAAATATTTCAGAAGACATTTACAAAACAGTTTTTCATTCTTGACTGTCACAACATTTGGAATTGAATTATGAAGGTGGAGAGATTACAAAAATTGAGAACGTTTGCAGTCAGCATTTTCGATTGGTTGAAATTTGATTTTGAACAAAACGAAGCATTTCTTTTTCGATGAAACCTTTTCGATATTTTTTATGAAACGGAAATTGAGTTGTGTTACTGGATTGTGTTTTGCAGCGAGATGTGAAAATTTTAGGAAACGCCAAACATTCGCTAACTTAGTAACACACATGTGTGCGAATGGCATAATTTGTTAAAAAATATGATAAAAAATTTGTGGCAACATTTCCAAACCAGTCCAATTTAACCTGGCAGCTATGCACCAGATATTCATATTTTGGGTTCCATATTTGCAAGTTTGCACAAATTTTTAAGTCCTTTGTTTGAATGATAAAGCCCTTATTTTCGTTTTTTTGTATAAATTAGTTAATTTTTCATTTGAATGTTTTTTAACTCTTTGCAGCTCCCAGTTTGGTGGTATGGTACCTTAATTATTTTGATTTAGTTTAATTTAACATAATTTACACAATTTCGTTTAATCCCATTAAAAAATAAATGCAATATAACTTACAAATTATTGATTAATTTATTTAAAAAACAATACTTAATTACTTAATTAATCAATCAATAATCATCGCTAATAAAATTTACTATAAAAGGTTAATGTTTACAAACTATCAAATCAACTTTCCAAAACTATCCACTTTAACAGTTCACTAACCTTTATGCAAAATACAATAAAAGCACAGTCAAATATAAAACATCGCTTTCGACACTAACAATCAATCGCCTTCTAACATCAAACATTCAACAATAACCATTCAAAATCCCGCACGTCTTACATACCCGTTCTACGGACGCTTCTCGAATGTCCTAGATATCTAGCAGTCGGAAGTTTCTAGTCCTTCCTCGAACTGTATGCGTTCGTTCCGCCACTAGATTTCTAGCGAATATGAAGGTTATAACAATCTTATTAAACATTTTTTTAAAATATTTATTTAGTTCAGCCATTCATTCAATTGATTATCAATATTAACTTACAATTTTGCACAAACAGAAACTACTTAAAAATTTTAAAATTAATTCAGTACACTACAAGTCACATATCCCGTTGTTACAAACTACTATCTCGGTAATTTTAATCTGGTAACATGTACCAATATGCATCAACATGTTTTAATATTATTTAATATTTTATGTAAACTTGTGTTCGACCCCTTTGTATTTGTCATTATGTAGTTATTTTTAATAATAAGGTTAATTAAATAAGGTAATAAGGTAAGGTAAATAACGAAATAAGGTTAATTAAAATTTTTCCAACAGTTAAAATTTTTAGTTTGATTGCTGCAATCAAGGCTGGTTTATATAACGATCAAACCAAAGAAACTGCTTTACAGAATTGTCAAAGTTAAGTTGATTGTAAAACTTGATCTTAGTTTCAACAAAGATCATTTAATGTACTTTTAATTTACAAGCACAATTGTAAATTATTAAACCTAATAAATTTTTTATTAATTTTTTTTGTCTATGTTTGCAGCAAGTTTCTCAAGTAAATTTTTTGCTAATCAGTTCTGGTCTTCGGTGTCGGCAATACTTTTAATGCCGAGTATCAAACTTGGTATCGTCGCTACTTTTTAGACAGAAAAAATTGATGATATTTCGTGCTGATACCTTTAAACATCAAGGGGACATATTTTTATTAAAAATTATTTCAATTTTCAAAATTAAGTAAGTTAAATCAACGTTGAACTGGAAACATAAAAGATTTGGCATGTTTGTATTTTTGCGCCAGCTTTCAAATTACGTCATCAATTTTTGTATCTTTGTTCTTCTGGCATACGTTAACTGAATATTATGTCACTTACAAACTATAGCAGTTTGTAGAAATCAAACTAATTTTTTTATATTTTCACGGTACATGTTTTGATTTACTTTACTCAAAGTTGACATTTGAGCTCTTAAAATAGGCTATTTTAGTGTGCTTAAAAGAAAGAACTAAAAATGGAAATGTAAGTAACTATGAGTGTTTTCAGTTTTCTTTTCAGGAGCAGCTTTTACTCCTCCATCTGACATTGATCATTGCCAATCGTAATCGCTTTTTCTGAAAATATTATAAGAAGGACGCTCACTTTAATGTTTTTAATACCACATTAAAACGTGTTTACACAGAGTTATTTTTTTACAAATTCATGATATTACAAAAAAACTAGAAAACACTTGGTTACATTGTTGAAAAAATTTGACAGCTGCACACACACACACCACTCATATCTGGTAACATGTACCAATATGCATCAACATATTATTTAATATTTTATGTAAACTTGTGTTCGCCCCCTTTGTATTTGTCATTATGTAGTTATTTTTATTTGGACTAATCTCTAATTTGTCATGTTATATTAATTTAATGCAATTTTATTCAAGGTTAACTCCTAATTTTTCATATCCTCGAGGAAGGGTGATTATGAGGATGAGGAGTTGCGTTGTGCCATCCTTCTGGTCCTCTGTGCTGTATCTTCTGTGATCTATCGGATCGACCGCTATGAAATCACGACAAATTGGACAAAATGGTTTTACGTCCAGCCAACTGTTGATACAGTCATCGTGGAAGACGTGGTAGCATGGAAACTCTTTCACGCAGGAACTCTCCATTAATTGTTCCTTACAGATTACACATTCACTGTAATGAAATCTTTCTTTGTGGTACGGAAGGTGATATACACGGTGGCGGTAGTTTGACAAAGCATCGATGAACGAATCGTGATGACGAATTGTACAATTCATGGAAACACCGCTGACGACCAGATCCAAACGAGTTTCGCGTATTGTAACATTTCTGGCACTCAACTCTTCAAAGTAGAAGTCCTGCACTTTCACTGACAAGTCATAACTCATCTTGCCGTAAAATCTGTTGGAAGCCGTACTGGGTTTCTTGTCATCCATTTCCATTGATATTTTCATCTGATCCATGTTATGGAGTAAGTTTTCAGTTTCCAGTTCTGATAGCTCATGCTTATTTACACTGAAAAATATTTGGTAGCTCTCTAACATGAACCTGTCATTATCCTTCCTCCATTCAGTTAAGTAATTATTTGCTACTTCCTCCATGCAGCTTAAAACGTTCGAATTTGGTGATGAACTCATTCTGATCAGTAAGAATTTTTGTCGAAATATTTGATAGCTCCGAAATAAGGTTAATTAAAATTTTTCCAACAGTTAAAATTTTTAGTTTGATTGCTGCAATCAAGGCTGGTTTATATAACGATCAAACCAAAGAAACTGCTTTACAGAATTGTCAAAGTTAAGTTGATTGTAAAACTTGATCTTAGTTTCAACAAAGATCATTTAATGTACTTTTAATTTACAAGCACAATTGTAAATTATTAAACCTAATAAATTTTTTATTAATTTTTTTTGTCTATGTTTGCAGCAAGTTTCTCAAGTAAATTTTTTGCTAATCAGTTCTGGTCTTCGGTGTCGGCAATACTTTTAATGCCGAGTATCAAACTTGGTATCGTCGCTACTTTTTAGACAGAAAAAATTGATGATATTTCGTGCTGATACCTTTAAACATCAAGGGGACATATTTTTATTAAAAATTATTTCAATTTTCAAAATTAAGTAAGTTAAATTAACGTTGAACTGGAAACATAAAAGATTTGGCATGTTTGTGTACAAAGTCACGTAGACAAATTGAAACGGACAAAGTGAATTCTGCAAAGCTTGAATTCTACCCAAAGTAAAATTAATACATCGTAAAGTAACAATGAGCATAACTATTAAATATTGTTTTCATTTATTTTTTTATTAAAATTTTTCAACTATCCCGTTAAATTCTCATTCTAGTGAGTCATTTTGTGACACAGAGTTATATTTAACAAATACATGATATAACAAAAAAAAAACTAGAAAACACATGGTTACATTGTTGAAAAAATTTGAAATTTTCTGTTGACAGCTGTACACACACACCACTCATATGTGTGCACACATTTGTAGTTCATAGTTACAAGCAATCATACACACACATCACACAAAAACACACACGAACACACACATATGCACACACAAACACAAAACACACACACAAGGAAACGTGGAAAACAGTTCGAGATTCAGCAACGTTTAATTTACAAATCAAATAATTCAATTTTTTTTTTATTATTCTTTAAAATCAGGATCTGACAGACGCAGAAACTGTAACAACTTGCAAGGCAGTGAAACAAAATTAAACAAATAAGTGAAAAAATAAATACAAAAAGTGAGGAAGGGAAAAGATAAAACATGAAAAATAAAATATGTTAGAATAAAATAGATAATAATAAGACAAATAAAAGAAAAGTAATTGACGATGGAATATAAAATGAAGTAACGGCAAATTGATAGACTAGATGATGACTTAGTGGGTTAGTGAGGTGATCGATTGATAACGGCTAGGCCTGTGTGTGAAAAAGTTTAATGAGTATTAATATATTTGGTGACTTATTAATAGACTAAATGATGACTTAGTGAGTTAGTGAGGTGATCGATAAAAGTGAGGTGATCAATAAGTAAAAACTAGTTCAGTAATGATGAAGGGCTAATATGTTTGAGGTGTCTTGTGATGAAGGTCTTTTCCTGCAATTAATAAAGCACTTGCCATTCTCGCCATGATATGTAGAAACTTTCGTAATTTAAGCAAATTTTATTTCTTACAGCTATACAAAGGTATATATATATATATGATTGTATATATATATACATATATACATTTATATGTATGTGTAATGTATACATGTGTAGGGATAGTACGTATGTGTATCGTACATTTTATTTTATTTAGGTATATTTTATTTAATGGTGCTTTGTATCAGTTTTTGTGTGGATGTATGTGCATACGTGAGTCTGAATGTACGTGTATATTGTATATAATTTATTGGTCAGGTTATGGGTGCTTTATGTGGGTGTGCTTACGTCTAACAAGTATATATTTGTGACGGTTATAACGCTATAAAATATACATTCCTCTTATTAGAAAAGCCAAACGAAGAAGAGCCATATTCCAAAGATCTTTCCAACTAACGTGTCTCTGCAACACTTTTTCCCACAAAGACCATCTGCCCTGATGACTCTGCTGCATTGATGCCTCGACTCTTTCTTAGTTGTACTCATCACGCCTTTCTTCAATAATCTTTTGAACTTTTGTTTTGTTAATATATATCCATGATAAGATTTCAACAATTGGAAATATTTCAGAAGACATATGAGACATTTACAAAACAGTTTTTCATTCTGGGCTGTCACAACATTTGGAATGAAATTATGAAGGTGGAGAGATTATAAAAATTGAGAACGTCTGCAGTCAGCATTTTCGATTGGTTGAAATTTGATTTTGAACGAAACGAAGCATGTTTTTTCATTAAAGCCTTTTCGATATTTTTTATGAAACGGAAATAGAGTTGTGTCCAAATTCTCATGGTAGTGAAAGTCATTTTGTATTTTTGCGCCAGCTTTCAAATTACGTCATCAATTTTTGTATCGTTGTTCTTCTGGCATACGTTAACTGAATATTATGTCACTTACAAACTATAGCAGTTTGTAGAAATCAAACTAATTTTTTTATATTTTCACGGTACATGTTTTGATTTACTTTACTCAAAGTTGACATTTGAGCTCTTAAAATAGGCTATTTTAGTGTGCTTAAAAGAAAGAACTAAAAATGGAAATGTAAGTAACTATGAGTGTTTTCAGTTTTCTTTTCAGGAGCAGCTATTACTCCTCCATCTGACATTGATCATTGCCAATCGTAATCGCTTTTTCTGAAAATATTATAACAAGGACGCTCACTTTAATGTTTTTAATACCACATTAAAACGTGTTTACACAGAGTTATTTTTTTACAAATTCATGATATTACAAAAAAACTAGAAAACACTTGGTTACATTGTTGAAAAAATTTGACAGCTGCACACACACACACCACTCATATGTTTGACACATTCGTAGTCCATAGTTATACACAATCACACACACACATCACACACACACGCAAACATACACAAAACACACACACCAGGAAAAGTGGCAGACAGTTCGAGGTTCTGCGACGTTAACGTCTACGTCGTAATTTCCATCCTGTCACTACGATAATTGTTGTTATCTGCAGTGGTGTTCCACAGGTGAGTGTTCTAGGACCTATGCTTCTTTTGTTTATGTTAACGATATGATCAGTGTCTGCGTTGGAGACGTTGATATAAACCTGTATCTCTATGCAAATGATGCTAAAGTGTTCAAACCTATAAAGAGGGAAGAGGGTATGATTAGCTTGCAGAATGTTTAGATAGAATTGTTGATTGGTGTAATGTTTGGAAAGTTAGTATTAACATTGATCAGTGTGTAGTTATGAGACAAGGGGCAACATAGATGTGAGTCTGCGTTACAGTACTGAAAACAAATACTTAGAATGCAAAGAATTGCGGCATTTGAGTGTTGTATTTGATAGTAAATTGAAATTTATAAATCAAATATATAATTCAATTAATAAAGCACTTGCCATTCTTGGCACAATAGGTAGAATATGCAGTGTGTGAAGGACGTGGACCGTGAAAGAAATAAAAGATATTGAAAGAGTTCAGAAGAGGGCCGCGAAAATGGCGAAGATTTGTTCCAGTTTAAGTTATATTGAAGGATTGAAATTTCTCGATCTGCCTGCATTGGCATATCGTAAAAACAGAAAAGATATGATTTTGCTTATTGATATGTTGAAGATAGAATCCGATGCTAGTCATCCTGTCATTGAAAAGGTGCCTGATAACAAACAAGAAGCCATCAATTAAAGCTCAAAGTTAGAACTTTCAATAAAAATTTAAGAAGGTATTATTTTACAAATCGAGTCGTTATATTGCGGAACGACCTTCCTGAAGAAATGGTTGTTGAATTTAAGAAGAATTTGGACAAACATTGGTTTAACATTGGACAAACATTGGTTTAACATCCCTTGGAAGGTATTTTAATGTTATAAATTGTAAAAATTAAATGATTGTTGGATCGTACGTTTCATTTATTAATTCAACATTTACAATTTGTAAAATGATTGCAATTAAATTTATTATTTTATATGTAGTTATTTATTATTAATGAAACATTGATTTTTTTTTCATTTCATTCAAATTTTTTTTTATTTATGGTTTTATTTATTTATGTATCAATTTGTTATATTTTATTTTATGAATATGTGTGTATACATATAGTATGTATGATGTGATTGGATGTACTGTACATATATGTATGTGTGCTGGTTTTTTTAATTATATAATTTCTATTTATGTATAAATATTTACTACATAGTTATTTAATTTTATAGGTATGTGAAAACTCCGTTGAGTCAAATCATCGAAAAGTCCTCAGAGTCCACGTCGAAAAATGTTTCGGCCCTGAACAACCATCTTTGTTGACCACCTTCTCGATGACTGTCGATTTTTCAGCTGTGTTGGTCTGCTATTTATACCAAAATTCTGCTTTAAATTTCCATTACATATTATTCATTAACGACCTGGCTTATGTTAATTCAATATTTAAACTCATCCTATATGCTGATGATGCTAGTTTCTTTTATGCATCTAAGTCCCTAACTCAAGATACTAATCTCATAAACACTAATTTAAAACTTATTACCAACTGGTTTTCTCAAAATAGTTTAAAAGTAAACTATCAAAAATGTTTTTACATGTGCTTTGGTCCGAAGATCCTCACAAATACATTTGCACTTCTGAATTTACACCTTAATAATCATTTGATTGAAAGGAAAACCAGTGCCAAAATATTGCGTCTCGTTGTTTCTGATAATTTGTCGTGGGCTGAACATATTGATTCGCTGGCGTCTCGAAATTAGCAAAACACTGGGATTGTATTACAAAATTAGGCATAAGCTTAGTATTCCTACGTTTTTACAATTGTACTACGCTTTTATTTTCCCTCATCTTTCGTATTGTAATATTATTTGGGGTCACTCTCCAAAAACTCATATTTTAAAATTTAAGTTGCAAAAAAGATTTATCAAACTTATATATTATCTTACACAAACTGACCATGTTGATGATTACTTTTTCTCTTTAAACGTGCTAACCATATTTCAATTATTTATTTTTAATGCATTCCTTTTCATGTATAAATTTATGAATAACCGATTACCTTCTAACTTTTCTAATTTTTTACTACATAAACCTAATTTCTAATTTTTTACTACATAAACCTTTTAACTTTACCCGGCATTTTATTCCTTACATTATTCCCTTTAGCAGATTAAAAATTCTAAATGATAGCATTTTTATTATGGCGCCTAAAATTTGGTTTAAACTTCTGCCACAATCTATCACTTCTCTCTCCAAACCGGGTTGTTTCAAACATCATTGTAAAACTTTTCTTTTATCCTGTACACATGGTATCACTATTTAGGTATGCTATGTTATTATACATATATGTGGGTTATATATATGTTGCTATAGGATTAGGAATGTATAAATGTGTGTGTATGTGCGCATATGTGTGCATGTGTATAAATGTGTTTATATGTAAACATGTATAAGCTCGTGTTTGTATGTGTTTTTTTTACTTTGTCAATAACGAATTTTTATTGGTTTATTCGCTGAACTACGTGTCAATGTTTTTATGCTGTTTTAATCCATTATATTGTCAATATTTTTTGTAGCCTGTACGCAAGTTTAATTTTAAAGTTCTGTTTGTATAATGTCTATTTCTTTATTTTAAATGAAATTTTTCTGTTTAACGGTCGTCTATCATAAGATCTTTTCTTTTTTGATCTCCGTATCATTTTCATTTCTTACAATTGTTTGATTTGAATTGATGAATAAATAAAATATTAAAAATATTAAAAAAATATACCAGGCTTGCTAATTTAGCCGGCACTCTTTTCTATTTCTATTCAGCCACAACTAATACAGCGCTTATGAGAACACTGTAAGGTTTATAATCGACGCTTTATAAATTTCCAAATAATAATAATAATAATAATACGAATCTTGCTCTGCGCTACTAATAACTTCTTTCATGCATGCTGTACGCTTCCAGCATGACAGTCCCAACTCTCTGAAAAGTGTATACATCGACGCCCCCACTGTTCCTCTTGCACCAGCCTCAGCAGCGTAGAACCTGGTTTTGCATCCTTTCTTGTTTAACTGTTCATACTTTGCAGTTTTTACATCGTGGCTACTAAGCATGTTATCTTCGTACGACACAGTTAGTTCAATAACGATAAGTGAATTCGCATTCTCAGATGCCACCACCATGTCAGGCCTCATGTTTGTTTTTTTGATGTACGTTGGAAAATTACATCTTTCTTCCAAATCAGCGTACACAACCCAATCGTTTGCGTTTTTTAAAATACCATCTTTCATTCGGTCATATTTGACGTTTCTGCTTTGTCCTTCTCTTAGAAAATACATCTTCGTGTTTTCCGCAGACTGAGGTTTGGCGTCATTGCAAGCGGAACAGACCGTGGCACCATGTGTACCGACCGTGGCCTAGATCATACCGACATGACGACAGCACGTGCGCTAGTGTCTTGTGACTTCCGCAGATTGTACATTTGTTTTATGCCGACTGATTTCACCGAACCAAATTAGCTTTTGTTGGCAGCTTGTCGGACATTCCTCTTATTAGAAAAGCCAAACGAAGAAAAGCCATATTCCAAATTTCTTTCCAACTAACGTCTCTCTGCAACACTTCTTCCCACGACGACCATCTACCCTGATGACTCTGCTACATTGATGCCTTGACTTTTTTTCTGTTGTACTCCTCATGCCTTTTTTCAATAATCTTCTGAACTTTTGTTTTGTTGTTGACCTTTGACCACCACCTATTTTGAAATCAGCCTTTGCCGTGTTTTGTGCTTTGCACTACCCCAACAATCTCTTTAAGTTTCAATGATTATTCTGCCAAGTCTATTTCATTTTTGGCTTTCTATTTTTTCCCGTTTTCAACAATGGCTTAACTTGGGTTATAAATTCGTCTGCCAAGGTGTCAAGCAGCCATTAACACCTTACTTTGGTGCATTTGAATTCCTCAACTACTGACTTGAATGGTAGTTTTAGAACTGTTTTTTGGCTATAAAAAGCAAGTGAAGTCAAACCCGCAGGCAGACCAAGATATTTTCTTGTATAACGGTTGGTTTTCTTTTGCCAATTTTTCCACAGTGTTTAGGTTGAACTCATACACTGACAAAGGCCATAGTAGTTTTTGGATCACTACAAACTGTGTCAACCAGACTATAAACTGTTTGGCTTTCTGTGTTTACCGAATATATTTGTATTGGTCAGGTTAATATATAGATATTAATCCTTATTGTTCATTACTATACTTTGTGTGACATTTTTATAAACATGATTGTATTTATGTGTTTAAGTGTTTGTATAGATGTCTGTGTAGGTATGTTTGATTAAGATAACTATTATTATTATCTCTATCATATATATGTGTGTATTATACATATGTATATGTAATGTGTAGGGATAGTGCGTATGTGTATCGTACATTTTTATTTTATTTAGGTATATTTTATCTAATGGTGCGTTGTATTAGTCTATGTGTGGATGTATGTGCATATGTGTGTCTGAATGTACGTGTATATTGTATCAATATCAATTTTAAGTAATATTTTTATTAAAAATGTTAATAACAATTTGCCCACCACCAACAATTGATGTTCAATTTTCATACAAAAACAATTAAAATCAATGTTTGTAAAATCTTACAGGTTTCATAATCTACTTCAAAATTTGTAAAATCTGTCAAACTTTGATACAAAACCCTGCGGTATAAAATATTTGATAATTGAATTTGATAATGAAATATAACCATAAAAAATATAATATTCATCTTTTCGCTATCACTTTAGACCGCTAAACATATCTGATTAAAAACAACAAAACATTTCTATTAAAAAAATAATTTAGTGACATCATTATTACAAAACATTGAAAACATTTGTAATGCAAATAGGATATTGTTCAAAGTGTGTGTATACAATGGGACAAAAAATAACTAACCAATCATTTGGTTGGTTATTTCGGGAAATGAACCTGCAGCCACTGAGCGAGTTCTCCTTGAGTCCTTCTTCTCCAATTGATGTTCATCTGGATGACATCCAACAGGTAATGGTTCTGGCGAGGTTCGTCTGCCATGTTGGCATCCAAGAAAGTTTTCAACTGCAAATATTTGATTGGAACATGCGGGTAAACTTAAATAAGATGAACCGTGTTTTCTGCGCTTAATTGTACGTACAAATTTTAAATAGTGTGTTTGTGGCAGGCAACCAAGTTGTAATATTGAAAATTTATTCCGAAATAAAACTTTGAATACATTTAATTAAATTAAAATGCTTAATTTGATTCAAAATACTTGAAAATTAAAAAATCACTGGGGAGGGTTGTTTAACATCGCGGAAATGGCGCTATAGAAACAAACAGATTGCTTGATTGATTTAAACAGTTGAACCCAACACGACTATCAACTCCAACAATTTTAAGAAATTAGAATTTATCTATTAACATTATTACATTTTTACAATTTACTTTTTAATAACTTGAAAAAATTAATTTGAATTGATTTTTAGTACCTCATTTTAGTGTCTGGCCAAATCGGAAATTTAATTTTTCCTAAATAATTCCATCCCTCATCTGAAAAACCACAACATCAAAGCAGAAAAGTCAAACATAACAAAAATGATGTAAATAACACCATTAGACACCCACTTTTTATTGATCGTTTCCAAATTTTGTCTGATAAAATTCCACTGTATATCAACCATTGTAGGGTTTTTCGCAATGTTACTTAGCATCATAAGAAACTTCTAATTCATAATTACTGAATTCATGGACGTATCTAATAGTCTGATTTGTAACCAAAGTAAATAGTTATTTGCATTATTTTCAAACATATATGTAGAATAACGTATATAGGAAATTCCATGAAATGACCATGTAGATTTTATTCAATCGCTAGGTATTTAAAAATTTGTTTGAAGAATACGCTATCATTTTTTTTATAATGTATTATGAAATTCTTTTTGTGTTTTCAGACATTCTAATTAACGTTAATATAATGTCAGAATTTATAATCTATAAAGATGTTTTATTAATTTGTTGTTAAAAACACATCAGTCTATCATTTATTCACAATTACAGTTCTGAGTTATTACGGCCCCCTTGTGTGCATGATTTTATCGGCTGATCACTGTTACAAATGGCTGATTTCCTATATATGTATATTCTATGTATATGTTTTCGAATTATTATGAGAATTGAAAATTAAATATACACAAATTATTTCTTCACCAAGATTTGGTAACACTTTGAATAAAAAGCTGGTTGAGATGATTGCTTACATTTTAAATTTTGATGCGTTGTTAGTGAAAGTGAGAGCCTTCAGCATGGTGCCCCTCTTAGACGAGAACGCGTTGGCTGCATTCAGCACGTAGTTCCACTCCTCGTCCCCGCCATATCTCACAGCATAACTACACAATCGATTCATAGTTGGAGTCAGTCTGCTTAGTAGAAACTTAAACTCAAACAACTTTCATCAAAATAATTTAACTAATTTTTTCATAAAATTATTTTTTGTGATAAATTTTTTTATTGCAATCCAACACAATTTCTAAATATCAAAGTATATAAGCAACCACAATTATTTACACATTAACATTAATCGTGACTAACATTAAACCTTTTGAATTATTGTTTAAGCAAAACCGTTCGCCTTTAATTAGTTCAATTTCTTCAAGGTTTTGATATAAATTTTTATTTGCCATTAATAACGATTTTTAAATATCAAGCACTGAGTAGTCATAAACATTCCATCTTAACTAACATTAACGATCCGCAAACCACTTTCTTGAAAGAATTTTTCGCCCAAATGACGTACCTTGGGATGGCCAATTTGGCAGCAAGTTTCATCATGTCTGCTCTTATAAATCTAATTGAACTGTAACGGCTGGTAGGGATAGTTAACAAAGTTTGTTAGCAAACATTTGAACATTTTTTACACGTTTAGCTGAAAAAAAAATTTTAAATGGCTAGTACTTATAATGTTCACTGTTTCCATAATAATAATGTTAGCAGAGTTCAAATGAATATGAAAAAATAGGCAGTAAAAATTGGTACACTATGTTTAGGAAACCTTGTTCTTTTTGCAAACATTTTCCAATAAAAAACTCTAGACTTATTAACTAATCGACCTCATCAATTACATCTGCTTTAGCATATATCAAAATCTGCAATATTAAAATATTAAATTCCTACATCAGGATGTCAAAGAAAAAATTATTTGGCCGCTTTGCCAGAAATTTGCAATGAAAGGATATAATATTGTCAATATTCTTGTTTGGAGAAAATCGTGAGATGAACTGCAAAACAACGACATTTTTAACCATTCACATCCATCCTACCAACCTTAACTCCACTCTGGCTCATTTGAGACTTTGAGAGAAAGTCGCAGACAACAAAGGTCACCAAGTACGTACTCATCCTGACGGAGGTGTTGAAGATGTCCATCGTTTCATTCACGGACACTGTCTCCTCTGCTATCAGATAAAAAGTTATTCATTTATTTATCAATTTTTGGTAATTATTCGTTGAATATGTTTACCTTCTCCGTGTTAAACAAGGAAATGTAGTCATTTGGTCGGATGATTTTGAACTTGAAGGTCGCCTTCAGGTGCGGCTCATCGAAACATGGAAATGCGATCTCGCGTCATTTGGTTAAAATTGCGTGGCCGCTAAATATCTGCTAAAAAGTTCAAACTCAAACTTAATCAAGTAAGAACATATGTTACCAAGAAACTTATTATTTGATGTATAAATCACAGAGTTTTTAATTCGATAAGTTTGTTCATTCTTGTTTTCCATGTTTACAAGTGTTTTTTTCAAATATTTTTAATATTTTTTTTCAAAACTTCTCTGATTAATTTCACTCCTTCAGCCCGCACAATTATCGGTCAAAGTTTAAATCTATCTGCCTTCTTAAATGTTTTTTTTTTCACATACCTTTAATAATTATCTTTGCAACATATTTTTAGCTTTTGATAGTTGGGTTAGTCAAACATAGAGCTGCAGTCATATCGTTCTTTACTTACTTTGTTGAACTGTCGTGTTCTAACTAACAACTGCAACATGCACATCAGGCCGCACAACCTACATCAACACTTTGTATAAACGTGCAAGCAGCCCATCATAAGCGCAAATCGCATAGCTTTGTGAGTCGATAGCTCCAGGTGGTTTTCGAACCAGGTCATTGCGCTATAGTAACGGCAAGAAACATGGCACTTTTATTCTTTGAGCTAACTCGTCATCCAAGCATTTTAATCGTCAAGAAAAATTAAATATTACAACATGTTTATCCTAAGAACAATTTTTTAAAAATAAAGAAGAATGAAGAGCGGAAACACAACGAAACAACTTATAACCTAACGACATTGTCGCTGTTAGTATAAGAAGTCAGAAAAAACCCATAGAATTTAATATGAGATCTCCGCTGAACGAAATGTTGACAAAAATGATGGCATTCTGGTGTAGAGGAGTTTCCAATTCCATTTGCAACTGTTCAAAATCTTTGTTGATCCTACTGTTTTTCACTTTAATTTCATTTGTAGTTGTATGAAAATGAGGTGTTAAAAAAACAAAATTTGATAATTGATTAAGTGTTGATAATCAAAATGATTCAACTTACCATCTATATCCTTATAACGTATGCCAAGGTTTAAAATGTCAAGATCTTTTGCATGCATTACAATATGATCTGCACTTTCTTTGACCAACACTTCAACGCATGATCAGCCGCTAAAAACAAATTTGTTAAGATCAGGATGAATGACAAAACAAAATAATCGTTATTCAATTTTTGTGAAAATTTTAAAAATAAAAAACTTTTTTCTTTTTATAACTTTTCTTGATCTATGTTCTGTTTGTCGAAAGAAAGAATTATTGAACGTATTAGATGCAAATATTTTCACCCGACAAAAAGATTAATTGTATACTTATTAACTTCATTGAATGTCATCATCAGGTTAAATTTATGTTGTGGAGGGAATCATTAAGTCAACAGTAGCCTAATCAATTGCTACTTCAATGAAAAGTTCTTTGAAAACTTTAATATCTGCGCCTGAGTTCAACAACACGTCAAAATAATATGTTGCATAGGGTCATTAACTTATTTATAACAATTATAATATTTGATTAATTTTTTTTCACGTTTTATTTATTTCATTATTTAGTTGGTATGAAAATTTTTGTTATTTTGCAGTCAGAAACATCAAAGGATTCTTCCAACATTAAGATTTGATCTTTCCAATTTTCAAAAGCCACAAAACGTTAAAAAATTAGATAAATTATTTTAAATTTATAACCTTTTTATAATTTTAACTCTGAAAATTTAGAACATATTTTTTTTTGAAAAAACAAAACAGCATTTTGTCGTCCACCAATTATTGTAGTAGATTGAAACAAGTTGATTATTAATATTTAAACAAAAATAAATATGAGTTCATAGTTTATCCGGCTTGCTAATCAGTTTTGAAGGTGTCAGATCCAATAAAATTTTCACTTCTACAGTCAGAAAACTGCGTGATATGAGATAGTTTCCAATTGTAATAATAATAATAACAACAATGTAATATCACCACATTTCAACTATACAAAGTGTTAAAGATCGGGTTTTGTGGAAGTCGATGGTCGCCAATGTCCTGAAAGGATAAGGCACAAAGAAGAAAAAGTGTTAAGAAGGCCAACAAAGATAATGATGATGCTGACAATGATGAATGATGATGATGTGACGATGATGAAGCTCTCATAATGAGCTTATTTAGTGATTTTTGGTCAATTCATATTGAGCATGCTCCTCTGGCTAATACAGTTTTTATCGATGCAACGATACAAAATATATTTCTTTATAAAAATGTAGAGGTGTATGTTAACATAGGCATGTACGCACAACTTAGCACATTGGCCTTCATGGTTTTGTAATGACATTTAATTATTCAGACCTTTGCAGAGCGTATGACTCTAAACTTTAAAACAATCATCATCTAGAGATTATCATCTGTGTTTGAAACAACAACGCTCAGCACACTCTGCTACCTTGCTCGCTCGTCCAACAATTTACTTCACCGCACTTTCCAAAATGCGTGCCCAGAGTTATAGTCATGCTTTAAATAAAATTTCCAGTACAACAAATACTGCAAATAAAAACAGACAGTTGATTTTAAAAATAGTTTATTCATTACCAACACCATACTTCAATTAACTTTATAAATTTTGAGAAACAGTTTTAAATTTGTCTTCTACCGTTTGAAAAATTTTATTAAAACCAAATTATTCAAAATAATAGAAAAATTAATTTTTTTTTCAACCACTTTGGGTCAAATTAGAACAGTTTCTGCACATGGCGAACATTCTGCAGCATGTAACATAAAATAATTTTGATTTAATTTTCATATAAAATAAAAAAGACTTTGAATAAATAGAAACAATAGAATAAAATCGAAAATTTTAAATATAGTTCAGAAATGTAACGTACAAAATTTGGCTGATAACTTTTCAATTATCAATTATTGCGGTGACCTAGACTGCAACCATTGCACAAGTTGCTGCTTAGACTTGTTTTTCCAGTTGATGTTCATCTGAACAAGATCCAAGAGGTAGATGTTCAGACGATCACTATCTCTCATGTTAGTATCCAGGAATGCTTTCAACTGTGTTTATGTGTATGTATGTGTTTGTGTATGTATGTGTATGTATGTATGTGTGTGTGTGTGTGTGTGTGTGTGTGTGTGTGTGTGTGTGTGTGTGTATGTTTGTGTTGGTCTGTGAGTTTAGTATTTGAGTACAAAATGCTTATATTATTTTTTGCATATATGATAGTGTAAGTGTTGCATCTCTCAACAACATGTGACCGTCAACAGTTCCATGACACCAACTGTTGCGTTTAACTTAAACTAGTGACAAATTTTAAACTGAGTGACTTGATAATCATTGTACACAAATTTTAAGTTATTTGAACGTAATATTTGATGGCTAATAATTATCTGAAAATGCCAACATCAACACTACTAACATCTTTATAGTGGTTTTCAGTATGTAAAATTGACGCAATAGCTTTCAAAATCTGTCTCAATCTTCTGGAAACCCCGTGCAACCTTTTGTGTTTGTGTGGTTGTGTTGATGGTGGTGAGACTAGTGTAGATAGTTGTGGTGTTTGTCCCGATATTGTTATTGTTAATCCACATCAGTTAAGCTTGTTCACCGGCTACACAACACTATTTAATATTTTTTGATACATGATTTTCAATATGATAGAAGTTAGCAAACTTTTGAATTTGCTTGGAATAAGTTAAGAAACGATAATATCCCACTTTCCACTTATCTGCGCCCAATTTGCCTTGATGAAATTCCACTGCACCTCTATCATATTAGGGCTGTTGTCAGCGCTGCGAAGAATCGTACGAAGCTCGTTAGCTCCTAGCGAGTTCAACACCATCTCCAATAACCTGAAATAAATTTGAACGTTTCCAGCTAAAAACATTTATAAAAAAAATCATTATAGAAACAAATGATTCGTTGCACAAATATATGAAAATTCAATCAAATAAAAACAAATGCGTAAATTAAAAAATTATCGATCTCCAAAGTTCTCTTATTAAAAAGTCAGTGGCCCACTGGTTGAACTTGGACGTGTCATTAGTGAATGTGAGAGCTTTCAACATGAGGTTCTTCCTCGTCTTCGTGGCATTCATCACATAGTTCCACTCCCCATCGCCTCCATATCTCACTGCATAACTGTACACGTTCTCCTCTTCGTTGGGTGTTAATCTGTTTCGTGACATGAAAACTAAAAACTACAACCCAACCAGATCGAATGGGAAAAAAGTTAAATCAGCTTCATCGCCGCAACAACTAACAAACCTATATGACTTGTGACTAAAGTTTTAAAAATGGACAAAGTTTATAAAAAGTTTGGAGGTTAAAGGTCAATCTCTCGTGTGCCCTTGCTCCAAAGGTATCAACGACAAACAAATACAGCGTATATGATCAGGCATAAAAACCACGCATCACACACATTGCATGTGATGGGCGGGGATCTCTTTGCATTCGACCCGATTCACTGCAACAACGGGACCAGGCGCCTCTAACCATTGAGCCATCACGCCGCTGAAAGAAAACAATTCTCTGTTCAAAAGTAAAGTCGACGGATATTTTCACCAACATAACCGTCATTAAACTCCTCTTCATAACCGTCATCAAACTCATCTTCATCTCCGTTCTCGTCGTCATCATCATCCTTATCGCCAACCTCCTTGTCACTATCATAATAATTATCGCAGCACAACCGACACTATCGACCCATTCAGAGCTTTCTGGAACGAATTCGTTGCCCACTGCACGTATTCCGGAAATCCCAGTTTGGCGGCAAAGGATATCATCTCTTTTCTAATGGACCTGATGATGATGTTGAAAATGATCACGATGATTACGGCGGATGTAGAGTACTAAAGAAACACGGCGTGGTAATATGGGGAATATGATAATAATAATACTCGTGGTGATGATGATTGAGATTTCGGTGATGATGCAAGTGATGTTTGGGCTAACTAGTTACTTTGTATGATAGTCTCCAACGTCATCAAGGCCAAGTTTAGTGAGGAATGGATTCATCAGCTTTCTTATAACGTTCTGTTTTAATTCAAATAAATTATTTCATATTTATTTTAATAAACTTAATTTCATAAAAACTCTACATTGCCATCTAATAATTTATCTCAACCAACAAAATAACTGACATCAATCTTATTTAAGATATCTTAAAATGAATTCGTAATTTATCGTCAAAGATGCATCTTAACATTTTGGCAAAACATTGTATCCTAAATTTAAATTATCTCTTGAAATGATTTTTTTTTCATCGAACCCTGAACTGGGGGTAGAGTTGATGCCCTGAGAAAAGTTCCACAACGACCTTCACCTTACTCATCATCACCCTCCAGGCTGCAGGGCTTTCTTCCTTCTCCACGTACATCAAAAGATCCATGGCCTTGCCCAGGCTCACGTGATCCGTGCTGTGTGACGTCATTTTTGAAAATGAGCTATCTCTGGTGATGAAAATATGGTTAGAAGTAATGTAAACAACCTGACGAGAGCAAATATGTCATTCATCAGACTGCCTCGATCGATCACGCTGAAAACCTGGTTTAAAATTTTTGAAAGCCAATTGAAATGAAATTGACAACAACCGCGAAATCAGAAAGTTCAGAGAAAGATTTCTAAATAATTAATAAACTATTAAAAAATAATTATTTCACGAAAAATAATTAATTATAATTATTAAATTTTCAATAATTAATTTAAAATTAGTGAAAAATTTAATTTTGTTTTTGTCATCTTGAAATATAGAAATAATTGTAAGGGATTAAATGTATAGTCATTATAAACATTTAACATTTTTAATTAGTTATATTATTAATTTTAATATCAACGTTTTAGTTTAACTTATTTTTACTACTACTTCTTTGTTTCACTTTTCCCCTTCCCTTTTTACGTTAGTCCGAGACCGTTACGTTTGTTTGGTTAATAAAATAAAATTATTTCTAATCGTCTTAAATTGTCCGATTTATAATCTTTCAACAAAAGCGAACTAATATTAAATCGAACATCCATCAACATCATCTCCGTCACCAATATCATATTTTTTGTAATCATTTAAAAAACCATGGCTATAGAAAAGACAACTCAACATACGGTGTGATCCGATTTGAGTTGTGCAATAATATCCGACCAGCCATTGTTGTCGTAATGTACTCTGTAGAACCCTCAGAAGTGTATAAGCAAATGTTTTTCACATTTCAATTCGCTTTACTAAACTGTATCATCATCATCTTCGTCATCATCATCATTGTCATCACCATTTTCATCAACACAACCACCACCACCATCGTCACCATCTTTTTCTTCTTTATCATCGCAACCACCACACCGTAGTCATCATACCTGTCATGTCGGTGTTGGCTTTCAACCAAGTTACGTCTTCGGGCAGGTCAAATTGTTCTGAATGATAAATAGACAAAAGTAAGAACAAACAATAACAAGAAAATAACTTTTAAGAAGTAAATCATTAGGAAAAAGGGAACGATGGAGATGATGATAGCAAAGTTAACTCGCGCTAGCTTCATTTCAATTCCCACACACTCACTTGATTTCTCTTTCAAAAGCACAATCTCACGATTGGAAGCCTTCCTGCTTGTCATGTAGGTGAGCGGAATGTACCACATGTAACTGTTATTTGTTTATTTATTATTTATTTATTTATTCATTCAATCATTCGTTCGTTCGTTCATTCATTCATTTATTCATCATTCGTTTATTCAGTTATTTATTCGAAGTTGTCTTTTCTATTTAAAACTAACTTTTATAATGAATAATTTATTTGATAAGTATGAAATGCGAAAATAGTCTTAAAAGCAGTTTACCGTGAATGAAAAATTTGAGCATTTTACCAAAGTTATCGTGAAAATTATCATGAAATATTTCTCACATCGGCCATTCAAACGAAACGCCATCTCAACCTACTTGTACTTCGATGCTTCTGGTTTGAAATCCCCCAACTTCGAATGATCAATGATGACGAATCTCTCCTGACGGCATGTCACGTTACGTCCAACTCTGTTGATGGTGACCAGGGGCAGACCCATCTGAAGTGTCCACGTCTCCATCATTTCCTTCACGTTCACGTCTTTGAAGTCTGTTAACTGGTGTTTAAAATACTACTTTATGAAGAAATGTGAATAATGTACAGGACCGTCAAATTAATGACAAAAACAATCAACAAACTGACTTAGAAACACATTTAACAACGAAACATGTAACAAGAAAGCTTAGCGCAACTTGATTGAAAGCATTCCACAAGTTTTTGTTCCTAGCGCTTTTGTATTGGTGTTGCCTGAGGTAGGCCTTCAGAGCCTTTTGAAAAGCATCAGCACCAACTACGTGCTCCAACATTCGGATGATGGCCGCACCCTGGCAAACATAATTTATTATTGTTATTCATTGTTATAATTATAATAATAATAATTATTATTATTATGTTATTCACTGTAATGACATTCCTTAGAGGATAGTACTGTGATTAAATGCTTGGTTGAACAAATAACTTTTTAACTCTCTTCTGAAATCTTTTTTTGGAACAGTTTGCTTCAATCTTGAATTTAATTAACAAAATGATTTTATCACAATTTTATGTCTGACTTGCTTGTTTTAATGAATTTCAAAACTATTTGTATACCCCTCATCTTTGTTAAGTTTTATGTTTTATATTAAAACATTATGATTTATAATATACATTTATTTTTCTTTAGACCAAATGTTCTTTGCTTTGTATGTAACTTCACTTTTTCCTTTTCTGTTGATCCGGTGGATAATAAACAAGTCGAGAACGTTGCTTAGTTTATTTCTCTTCTTTTAATTTCTTTCAATACTGTATCAATTAATTAAGCGATCTACGTAACAAGAAATTTAACAGGTTATGGGACCCAGATAACGTTTTTCTTAATTAATTGATTTGACGAAGAAAATTTAGAATAAAGAAATATCGGAAGATTCCTTTGTGAAGACTGAAGTGAAGAAAAAGCACGTGCTTCTTCATTCTCTGAAAATCGATATTTTGCTTCTAATTAAAAGGTCAAATTGAAAAGACAAGGAAGAAATGGATTTAACAAAAGTGCAAATCAAACACCTAGAAGGCAAAAGTAATTGGTTGAACTGGAAATCGAGGGTTTGTATAATACTACGCGGCATTCCTGATGCAATGGATGTAGTAAATGGCAAATTAAAAGTTCCAGATGAATCGAACAATGACTCAAATAAAGATGAGATAGCAAAATATCAAACTGCTTTGAACAGATTCAACAGAGCAGATTGTAGTGGTATGATTGTTCTGTCAACCAACATGACCGATGAAACGTATGAAAAAGTTCGTTCATTCAGTAGAACTTCACAGATTCTATGATGAAGTTAATGAAGATAAAGCATAAAACTTGTGCATGAAGTTCTTTAGTTATAAAATGGATGAAAGCAATGATGTTGTCACTCATGTCACAAAACTCAAGAATCTTTGGAAAGATTTAAAGGTTGAGTTAGGAAAAGATGAAAACAGTGACTTGTTGCTGATGTGCCAAATAATTGAAACTTTGCCAGAAAAATATTTTTCATTTGCTGCAAGTTGGAGATTGGTGAACAAGACTGAAAGAACAGTGGAAACACTCACAGATCAACTGTGTAGCTATGAGAGATCTTTGGAAGGCAAAACAGAATGTAATAAAGTATTATTTGTCAAAGCAACAACTGAAAGGTCATCATCACTAAACATGAATGGTCAAAAACAAGATAAATTTGTCAGCAAACCAAAGCGACTGATATGTCATTATTGCAAATTGCCAGGTCACATTGTAAGAAATTGTGAAAAATGGCATTCTGATGGTAGACCAGCAAAACCAAGAAATAACAATCTACGCGATGACAATAAGTCACTAGTTGTTATGGAATCAAGTGTTTTTGCAATTGATGAGTCAGCGTACACTGATGAATGGTTTTTTGACAATGGTGCAACGTGTCATCTAACTTTCCAAAGAGACATATTTCAAAGTTTTGAAAAATTTTCTCAACCGAGTAAATTATATGTTGCAAATGGTGATACTGTAGAAGCTTTTGGAAAAGGAATTATTCATCTTCAAGTGAAAGTGAATAATAAATGGCAAACTGTTAAACTTACAGATGTCTTGTATGTGCCAAAAGTAAAAAGAAATTTGTTCTCAGTACTTGCAACTCAAGATAAGAACAGAAATAGCTCTTTTGTTTCAACCTCAAGAAGTTGTCATTTACTTATTGACAATGTGATAAATGTTGTTGGAATAAGAAACAATAATGGTGGTTTGTTCAAACTTGTTGCAAAAACCGTTAGACCGTTGAATTCTGAAGTCGAAGTTAACTTTGTCAATGATCAAGATGCATTGCAGTTATACCATGAAAGAATGGGACATCAGAATAAGAAACGTGTTAAAATGCATCGATCAAGAGATGTTATTTTAGATGAGAAGGTTGTCAAACCAAATTCAGTGATTTTGCAAGAAGAAAGTTCAGATGATACAGTTTTGATTGATGTTGAAATGAAAGATGAAAATAAAGAAACTTTGATTAAAGAAAATATTTCAACTGATGAAGATGTTCACAACCGTAGTTCAGTTTCATCTGATGAAGAAGATCAATCTGACTGTTGTAATCAAAAGACCAAAGGTATGGTTTTACGTGACAGGAATAATATCTAAAAGCCATCTCGTTATGATCCTTTCGTTATGTCTGCATTATGTGAAGTACTTGAACCAGTGAGCTACAAAGATGCCATTCAAAGTGATGAAAAAGATGAATGGCTTAAAGCCATGAACAGTGAAATGCAGTCATTAAAAGAAAATCAAACGTGGGATTTGGTAAGTCTTCCAAAAGGTCATAAGGCAATACCATGCAAATGGGTCTACAAGGTAAAACACAATCCAGATGGTTCTGTTGAACGTTTTAAAGCCAGGCTAGTGGTAAAAAGTTTTTTTCAGAAAAAGGGAATTAACTATGAAGAAACCTATAGTCCTGTGGTCAGAAGTTCAACTATAAGAACACAATTAAGTGTTGCTGCAAATGAAAAGATGTCACTCATACAGTTTGATGTGTCAACAGCATTTCTATACAGCAAACTAAATGAAGATATTTACATGGAGCAACCTGAAGGTTTTAAAGATAATTCAGGAAGAGTCTGTAAACTCAAGCGAAGTCTCTATGGACTTAAACAAGCTCCAAGATGTTGGAACAAACGCTTTGCTGAATTCTTGAAAAAGAGACATTTCAAACAAAGCGATGCAGATACTTGTTTGTTCATTAGAATACAGGGAGGAAAGAAATTCATACTTGCACTGTATGTTGATGATGGACTAGTTACAGGAACCGATAAAGAAGAACTAAAAATATTTGAAAAAGAAGTAAAGTCAGAGTTCAAGATAACATCTAAACCTTGGATTAGAGATTAATCAAGATGAGAAAGGAAATATTAACGTCAGTCAGTCATCCTATACAAGAATGATTCTTGAAAAGTTTGGGATGAGCCAGTGTAAATCCTGTACAAGAATGATTCTTGAAAAGTTTGGGATGAGCCAGTGTAAATTCTGTACAACTCCGATTTCAAAATCTGAGGAGATCGATGAAAACAAAAATGAACACGAGGAAGTGAAATTTCCTTACAAATCAGCAGTTGGTGCATTGATGTACTTGATGACGGGAACAAGACCAGATATTGCATATGCAGTTGGAGTAGCATCCAGAAGTTTGGAGAAACCCAGCAAGTCCAATGTAGCACAAGTCAAGCAAATTTTCAGATATTTGCAAGGCACAGCTGATGTCGGTATTGTTTACAAGTCTGGTCAAAACAATACACTTATAGCCTACAGTGATGCAGATCATGGAGGAGATAATTCTAGTAGAAGATCGACATCAGGTGTAATCTGTATGTTTGGAGGAAGCGTGATCAGTTGGTTTAGCCAACGTCAACCCTCAGTTGCGATTTCAACTACTGAAGCAAGTGAAGCAGCTCGTGAAGTGATATGGCTCAAACGATTGTTGAACGACATTGTAGATCTAAAGAAAAAGCCAGAAATTTTTGTCGACAATGAAGCAGCAATTCGTTTAGCACACAATCCAGACTTCACAGAAGAACAAAGCACGTCCACATTAGACATTTCTTTGTCAGAGAAAAAGTTGCAGAAGAACAAGTTTCAGTTGATCGAGTTGCAACAGAACTTCAAGTTGCTGATGCTCTGACAAAACCAATGGTAGGACCAAGACTAAAGAATTTGATGTGTGCGATGGGTCTTCAGAACATTTAGGTTAAGGTCATCTAATGTTTTAAATAAAATGAGAAGGTGTTAAGTTTTATGTTTTTTATTAAAACATTATGATTTATAATATACATTTATTTTTCTTTGGACCAAACGTTCTTTGCTTTGTATGTAACTTCACTTTTTCCTTTTCTGTTGATCCGGTGAATAATAAACAAGTCGAGAACGTTGCTTAGTTTATTTCTCTTCTTTTAATGTCTCAATATTATATCAATTAATAAAGCGATCTACGTAACAAGAAATTTAACAATCTTCTCTTTGTGTTCATGCTATCGTGCTAAATATAAAGAAAGGCTAGAAACATCCATACAGTGAAGAAAATTTTTAACACTGAATCATGTAAACGAACTTTGCTGTATGAAATCGTGTCGAATATCTCCATGATCTTCTTGGGATCGGGCACAGGATTTGAGATTGCGTGAGAAGAATCTAGTGAATCTTCCGCCATAGCGGGCGCAGATACGTCAAATGAAAACGTCTCCATCTGTAAAAAGTTAACGGCTTAATTATTATGCGCAAGTTTGAAAATTTTAGCAAAAAAGTGAATTTTTCAAACTAGTTGACACTCTATAACTTAAGAAACAAGAGAATAAAAATAACGAGCAAAATTTCGAAGTAGAAATTATTTTGGTTATTTATTCAAAAATTTTTCATGTATTTAAAAAAATTTAAAAAACTGACAAGCGGCCAATGAGGAAAGAGATGCCTAGTTCCAATGTATTCAACGTACGAAGCAAACCCTTCATTCAACCAGATATCATCCCACCACTCCATTGTTACCAAGTTGCCAAACCACTGATGTACACACAAAAATTTAAAAAACTAGAAATAAATTGGTAAAAAACTAAAAAGGTTAGAAAAAAATTCCTACGCTTAAAAAACATGCGTGGTAAAATGTTAAATAACTTTTTTTGATAATGTTTTGACAAAAATCTACAAACATTGTTTGCACAAGACACGTGTTTAAAAACAAACTTGATGAGCAACTTCATGTGCAACTAAATTTGCAACGAGGATCTTGTTCTGATCTGAATAGTCCTCTACGTTGTAAAGAATGTAATCAGCTAAATACAAAACCAGACCCCAATTCTCCATGCCATCCAGTGCCATTCCAGGGACTGCCACGTTGTCTGGGTGGGATGATGGCGTTAACTTACCTAATACATAATAATTACAATTTAACGTTAAAAATTTACACTCACCAAATTTTGTAAGGGGGTACTTGATTCCATAAAATTCTTCGAAGTAATCGAGTAGTTTAGTAGCTGCGTCCAAAGCAAAGGCAGCATCGTTGATGTTTTCTGGTTGGGTGTATACTGATATCTGAAACGTTCAGTCAAGTTCATTTTAAAGAAGTAAAGAAGAAAGATAAGTTGCGGGTTAATTTTCTGAACATATGTTCGTTGTTTGAAACTAAATATGTTTGTATGTTTAAAACAAAAATTTGCTATCTATACACGGAAACTTTGTTTGAGTTCCAAGATGATCGGAATCTCTATTAACGGTCTAAAAGCATTTTCATCACGCATGGGCGTTCATGTAATTGTAAGATAATAACATTTATGTCTTTAAACAACATCGAAATATAAAAAACTGCTAAGTTACATACCGACTTGAAATTTATTTTTGATTACAAAGCTCTAACAAAAGATGTTTGATAATAACATTTTAGATCAACATGATTTTTATTACGTTACGCCAAACTGAAATCCCGTGGAAATAACTACAGCCATAACAAGCGTCTAATGAACTTGAATACAACGACTTCCAAAAAAAATCTTCAAACCAACATTAACTCCACTTTTGCTTATTTGAGATTTTGAGAGAAAGTCGCAGACAACAAAGGCAACCAAGTAGGTGCTCATCCTGACGGAGTTGTTGAAGATGTCCATCATTTCACTGCTGGACACTGCCTTCTCTGACACCTAAAAATTTTATTTTATAATTTTTTTTCCATAAAAAAATGTTCAAACTCTTGTATGAAAATAGTTGCGTGAAACGTTCTAAACACCTTAGCAAAAGCATGTGCGTGCGTGTTAATTAGAAACCTACCTTCTCCGTGTTGAAGAGCGAGATGTAGTTGCTAGGCCTGATGATGCTGAACTTGAAACGTGCCTTCATGTGTGGCTCATCGAAACAAGGAAAGGCAGACCTCGCATCTGTTGGCTGGAATTGTGTGGCTGCCAAGTATCTGCGAGAACATTCATTGATGAGTTCATAAAACGGAAAATTATTTACAGCAAAAACAGAAAAAATCAATTTTAAGACCAACCATTTTCAAATTTGTTCTCATTAATTTTGAAAAATATTTATGACGGACATTAACAAAGTGATTAAACATCACTTGATTGGTGCTACTTTTTTTTATTTCGTCATCAACCGACTTAATAACCTATCGCACCAGTCAAAAATTGTCCAACCTCGTAACGCCATCCTTGTTAGTGTAAGAGTCAACAAAAAATCCCAAAGAATCGTCTCTGAGTGCTCCACTGAATGAGATGTTGATTGAGATGATTGACGACTTGTTGAGTAAGGTGCCAAGTTCAATTTGCAACTGCTCAAAATCTTTATCGATGTCGTGTCTTTTTATAGTTATTTTATCTGTTAATTGTCAACAATTTGAGTTAAATAAATGCGATTCAATTAGCCACCTAACAGAATTATTTAGCTGATTTCTGTGCAAAGTACTGACAACAAAAACAGTTCGATAGCGTAAAAAGGTTGCCAGTTTAACCCTTCCCCATACGACACATTTCTGGCTACGCTGTTTGTATGGAATGATGATGGAAAGATCATTTTCTCGTCCGGCACGTTTCCAGAAGTATCAATGACTTATACAAAAACACAGAGCGTACGTAAATACACGTGAAAACAACACATCTTACACGGTATTTCATGTGCACTGGAACCTGGTCACCGCACGCAGGACCGGGCACCTTTGACCTTTAAACTGAGACCGCTCAATGGTGAAATGACAACGTTTCAAATTCCAATGTTTCAAAATTCATTTTTTAATGGTCAGATAAATTGTGCAATGATACTGATATAAATTTTACCAAAATTCAAATAAATTAACCATTGCGGTTCTTGTATTGTACGTAGATATCTTGGATGGTCAAGTTTTTCGTATGCATGACGATGAAATCAGTGCTCTTTTTGACAAACACTTCAACACGAGACCAGCCGCTGAAAACAAATTTCTGAAGATTAAGATGAATGAGGACCTCGTAACTCTGAGGAACCAAAGTTTTTGGCAGTCTCACTTTGTTCCAACAAAAGTTGATTTCATTTTGATCAACGATTTTTTTGACTGGTTTGCATAGGACCTTTGTGTTACAAAAATGTTGAGCTACCACACTGACCAGCAAAACAGCAGACAAACAGCAAATAAGCAGCAGACCGTTTGTTTGATCTCTTTTCATTTTTGGCACGTAGTTCTGAAAATCAGCGATGAAGTCTGACGATGTACCGTAGGATTTTTTCTCTTTTTAAATGAGAATATTACATTAACATTGCACTTCTTTATTTGAGGAAAATAATAAAATAAATTATTAACTTACAAACACTTTTCAGAAACTTTATTTTTTTTTGGAAAAAGTTTTAAAAATAGCCTGCCGAGTCCAAATCGCAAGTATAATTGAAATGAAAGATATGCAGTTGAACTCTATATCCTTCATAAAGTATTTATACATATCACACACGCCGTCGTATCTAACTGCGCCGATTTAAGAAGTGTTTGTTTAAACAACCTCCACGTAAAATTAAATAATCGACATGAATCAATGTTAAAAATGTTATACAAACATTTCTCCATTCATGTGATCGGCGTTGAGTCAAATGAGCAAATGTTTCCGACGGCCGATCAAACAAAAGTTTAATGTTTACACTAAAAATATATAAATAAACGCAACAAACTTAAAAAATCTTTTTAACTCTTTCTTCATTTCATCCTTTTTAACAGATGTTCACTCTTCCTTCATTTCATCGTGTTGCTTGATTTGAAGAAACATTTTATAGTACATCATTGCCATAAGACATTTTGCATAATTTTGACTGGTCTCGCACAGCATATAACAATTGAAAAACGCTCGTTATGTTTATTTCTAGAGAAAACAACTGGTCTCATATAAAATTGAAATTTTGACGACTGTAGACACGAAACAATAAACATGATTTCGAAATGTTATACAAAGTTTATAATCAATGTCATAATGTCTGTTGCAAAATACAAAATCCAATAATTGGGTATTCGAACTCGTCATTCACAATAGCCGTAAGAAAATAGCATTACCTCCAGAACACCCATCAATCACTCACACAAGTCAATTAAAAATATTAGGCATCCCATTCACCTCCACACTTAATATAGCACATCATATCAATCACATCATCATAAAAGGCTTTCAAACATTTCACACACTCAAAACACTCCTCTCACATGGTCTCAGAGGCATCAAATTATTTGACATCACTGAATCACTCATCATCTCACGCATCAAATATGCAGCTCACTCTTGGTCCGATTTTGCTACACAACAACAACTTCAGCAACTACAATCTCTCATCAAAAAACTAATTCGCTTTAACTATCTACCTGCATCATATCCTACGTCACTCCGATATTCAACACACTCGATTCAAGACTGTTCAAGAAAGTAGAAAATAACAACAACCACGTCATCCATCCTCTACTACCACCAATTAAAACTACAACACACAACCTTTGTCAGCGCAATCAAAACTATCAAGTCGGCACCCAATCTACATATCAGGAAAAGACTTTCATCAAAAGACACCTCAAACATATTAACACTCAATAAAACTAGTTTTTATTTATCGATCACCTCACAAATTCACTAAGTCATCATCTAGTCTATTAGTTTGCATTTTTATACCATTAATTCATTTTATTGTCAATTTATTTTATTTTCTTTTATTTATTTTACTATTATTATTATTTATTTTATTTTTCATGTTTAAACATTTTTTCTTTCTCCGTTATTTTTTTATTCATTTATTCGTTTAATTTTGTACTACTGCATTGCATGCTGTAACAGTTTCTGCGTCTGTCAGATCTTGATTTTTAAAGAATAATAAAAAAATCATTTGTCATCATTTGGCAGCTCGACTCAGCAACTAAGGCACAAGTTGTTGTTGAGACTTGTTCCTCCAGTTGATATTCACCTGAGGTATAGTTGTTCAGACGATCACTATCTCTTATGTTTGTACCCAGGAAAGTTTTCAACTGTACGTGTGTGTGTGTGTGTGTGTGTGTGCATGCATGCGCGTCTGTGATCGTGTGCGTGTGCATTTGCAAGTTTTATAAACTTTGTGTAACAATTTAAGAAGTTTGTACATCTTGTAACTGATGTTACAGGTCAGTAAAAACGAAACAATGTTCATAAACTTTGATACCAATTCGAATAACAAATAATCTGTTGAAGTAATTTATTAAATATTACAATTTCAATCGCCATTTCTTTAAGAGGTAAAAATTTGAAACATACGAAACCAGCGACACTGACATCATTATAATGATCTTCAGTGTGATGGAGGGAAGTCAGAGTCATGAATGTTGAATTAATCTCGATGTGGATTAGACCCAGTGATAAAACTCGTGCGCGTTTATTTGGTCGGCGTGTCTTGTACTTGTTCAATATACTGCTGTCAATTTCAACAAAGTTATAGCAATAGATGGACAGTAATTTATGTTTTATGAAATATTGTTATTTATGGTCAATTAGTACATAACTTTTTTTTTCTTTTTTTTTTATTATTCTTTAAAAATCAGGATCTGACAGATGCAGAAACTGTAACAGCATGCAAGGCAGTAGAACAAAATTAAACAAATAAGTGAGAAAATAAATACAAAAAGTGAGGAAGAAATATGATAAAACATGAAAAATAAAATTTGTTAGAATAAAATAAATAATAATAATAAGAAAAACAAAAGAAAAGTAATTGACAATGGAATATAAAATGAAGTAACGGCAAATTGATAGACTAGATGATGACTTAGTGAGTTAGTATCGATAAATAAAGGCTAGACATGTGAGTGAAAAAGTTTTAATGAGTATACCTGCATTACAAACTCTTTAATTAGTCAAACTTCAATCGCAATTCCAAAAAAATTCCAAAAAATCAAGTTTAATTTCTCCTCTCATTTTATTTTTATTAGGTTTACCAAACCGTTCTCCTTTGGAAAGACACGTCCTTTTTTAAACAGGATTGTCCTCTGTCCTCCCACCTGTCTTCCCGTTTTTTTGTTTTTAAAGATGTATTTTTTATTCTGCATTTTTTGGATATAGTTCATTTAAATTTTTTGAAATTTCAATGTTTAAATATAATCAATTGATTGATTAATTTGTTTTAAAATGTAATGCTAGGGAAGGTGTAGAACGCTTAAACATACAAAATAACCCAGATGATAACATGCAATTGGAGGACTTGATATTGAACACAGCCGTTGGCAAAGAAGGAAGAAGCAATTCGGAATCTCTACCTCCTAAGAACACAACACATGTTGCAGATATCTCTGAATAGCCTGGTAAAAAAGCAAAATCTCCTTTTACATATAGTTCAAATTCAAAACATAGGTGTCAACAAAGCCAAATCCGAAACGAAATCTGTTGTTTTAAAACCTCTGAAGCAGAGAACAAATGATGAAATTAAGTGATGTAATGAGAAATGCACCTATTTCACACTACATTCAGGGAACAGTGTATTCAATCCATTTTCATGGTGGAAGGAGAATGCAACAGAATTTCCAATATTATCTGGCATTGCATGGCGCCTTTTTGTAATTACAGAATCTTCCGCTGAATGTGAACGTTATTTCAGCGCATTCAATGCCAGGAATATCATCACTGCATGCACAGCGTAACGCGATATACTCAGAAACTGTGAAAGCCATTTCTATTTTACTTGAAGCTTACCGGAACAAGATTGTTTAACTCTTGAAACGATTTTTTTCATTTTTTAAATAAAATTAGACAACTTCTCAAGTCATGAAACTGTAACAGAATTATAGTCAAATTTTTGGTGAATGTGTGTTCAAACTTTGAGTTGACTGTCAATGTCTTTTTACTTTGTCGTTGTAATCATTGGAATTTTTTTGCTGCTTGCAGCTTATGTTGCTGTTATTAAAAATGATGTAAAAAGTAACACCATCAGTCATTTGTATTTTTATACTTTACAAGTATGGAATGGGTCATGGGTCAAACAATGATGGGTCATTTGGGTTATGGGTCAAAACTGTTGAACCATGGTCAGCTCTGGTTTAAATAGAGAAAGTTCTTCACTCATTTGTTTTTATTTTCTCAAAATTCCAAGTATTCCGATACAAATTTGTCCTGCCCTGAGGTGTGACTGATTTGGTAACCCTATTTTTATAACAGTGTTATGTATTTGTTACTTAAAATTTTAACCTCAAACTAAACAGAACATTTTTAGTAGAATTATAAAAATATTCTGTAGAACTCTTATTTAATATAATCAGCCTTCGAACTATCATTTCATTTTTTTTGTATGTTGATAGAAATCCAACGACTTAACAAAAAAACACCAAAATCAACATGAATAAACAACAACAGAAACGACAAAAAATTAAACAGGAACATATAGAAAAAAAAGTTTTATAACGCAACATACATCAACTATTTAACATTCAACATTAATCAACTACTTTTCCTTAATCTCTTTCCAGTTACATTTTACAAAATTCCATTGGTCTTCAGCTATAAATGGACTGTTGGCAATATTGGTCAGGACTGTCTTAAACTCGTCTGCTCCCATCGATTCTACGGCCTTTCTCAATGACTGATTTAAATATAAAACCAGAAATACAAAAAAATTTTCCTCAAAATACAATTTCCATCTTAAATTAAAAAATAACTTGAAAACTAAATGTTTAAATGAAAATTACATCTTTCCCTATCGCAAAAATTATTTCGATTCTATCATAACAAAAATGTTGCTGAGGCATTTCGCACCTATCAAATCTTGCTGGATCAACAGTGAATGTGAGAGCATTCATCATGTGACCTCTCTTTGATCTTGAGATTCTCTCATCCATATCTCACCGCGAAGTTCTATACGATCATCTCTTTTTTCATATGCAGTAAATTAGTTTGAAAAAAATCATAATCTGAGTTGATTTTTGAATGTTTGTATCTAATTTATATCATTTAATTTCATGATGGTGATTTGTTACAAAATTGAACAAAAAAGCAGATGATATTATCATTTTTATCATCATCATCATCATAAGAGCTAACACAATTGACCCATAAACGACCTCTCTGAACAACTTCATCACCCACTTCATCATGAATGTGGAACGTTAAACAATAGTCGTAGGAGCTTTAGGATCTATAAAGTTTAGAAATGATCTCAGGGAAGCCAAAAAAACAAGATAGCTTTGCGTGGAACAGCGCATATCTTTAGAAAGTTTCTTGGATAATATCCTTTGAACTGATAAGGGTCCAGTTAAACGATTTAAACCGTGAATAACTAACAATTAATAACAATTATTAATTGTATTTGTGAAGAGTTTATGCTTAAGACAAATTTATTTTTGGTAAGTTTAAGGTTGCTTGCTGATATAATTTATGCAACCTAAAAGTTTATTTATCGCTGAAATAAACCAAAAATAATAATTCAAGCTTTATACTATAAAGATGATGTTTTGTGATTTTTTTTCATTTTCTGTTTTCTGTGTTTTTGTATATTTTTTTATTGAAATATAATTGAATAAATTTGTTTGGAGTGCGCGTGTAGGTGTGTTCGTATACATTTCATATACATTTTAACGTAAGTGTATATACATATTTTCGCTATCATCTAATTTAACTTTATAAATTAGTAAGTATTTATGCGCACGACAACAAGTATAAAACAAGTATATGTTGAGAAAATTTATTCACTAATTATAATCGAAATGCTAGCATACAAAAACATGAAATTGGCTGACCAACATTGACAAATCAAATATACGAATTTATATTTTTGTTGTATATGACCCTATACAAACATACACATACGTCGGCCAGTATGAAGCTGTTAACAAAAATAAAATAATATTGGAAATAATAATAATAACCAAACATAAAAATTAAAATAAAATAAATTAGAAGAAAACTTTACAGTGCTATTAAACTTTACTATGATTATCTTCTTTATCCATCGCCATTACTGCAATCATTATCATTAACACTATAATAATTATATGATCTTATAATGTCATTTGTTAGAGAAGATGAAATAATGAATGGATTAATGTATTATCATCATTAACATCATGGATAAAATGTCATTAAAACGACCGATAACTCGTCATCTCCATATTTGGATCATTTCAGCAGTTGGATGGAAATCAGTACTGAATCTCATTCTTTTAGGTTCTGGCATGTACCTTTGCTCGTTCGTTATGTGTGGACTGATCCTGGCTGCGCCTATGTCGTTGTTGCTTAATGGTAGTGGCGACTCGCTGGCTGGAATGTTGTTCTTCAGTGATGGACGTGGAGTGGTGGATGTCGATTGGGACAAAGAATCTGATATATTCATATCATCCGTATGTTTTCTCTTGATTCCTTTACTTTTTGTGTGTAGAACATTGTCTGGCAAATAATGTATCAACTCCTTTCTTCTAAGGTACTTCACGTCCAGGTTTATTCCTTCTTTCAGCTTAGGCCCGAGAGCTAATCTTATCTGCTCGTAGAAGTAGAGTGTTTCGTAGGTTATGTCGACTTTTACGGAAGCCTGTGAGAAGGTCAGACCTATAAACCACTGTGTGCAGTGCTGTTCAGTAGAATCACTCTTTGATGAATATCTCTTAGTGTTGATGTGTGCCAGTTTTATTACTGGTTTAGCCTCCAATTTCTGCACAAAAAGACGTAGTTTCGATTCGATCAGTCCATACCATTCCAGGTGAGTGGCAGCACTGAATGAGCTGGCCCTTACAACATAGAAATCTCTGTACATATTGAAGAAATCGTAAGGCTTGAAGAGATTTTCCCAATCATCTTTTTTGTTCAATATCTTTGTAGATATATTAAAACCCCTAACAAATTCGTTTATAATTATGGCTCTGGTTGATGTACCAACATTGTACGTGGAGTTCTGGCTTGGGAAACACGGGGTTATGATTGGCATTAGGTGTTTGCGATCTGAGGAATTTTTCCTCGGATCCCAGAAGCTAAATGTTTCAGATATTTTACACTCACTCAGTTGTTTCAACAAAACCGGTAATGGCCATTTCCACTGGGAAAATACAAAAAAAAACCTATGCACTAGCACAGATGGGGTTGCATTTGGATAAAGTTGGCAGATGCGGGCTACCAGCATGGCCCATGACACACCCCCTAAAAATCCCAAAACATTAGAATATATTCCTCTTTTTTTGGCCCATAATTTGATTGCTCTTAATGTCATTTTGAAATTTTTAATGTTCGAAACCAGGTGCAAAATCTCAACAGTGTTTCTAAAACCATTTAAGCTCCTGACGCATTTTTGATCTAGATTCTTTAGTATGTTGTCATCCATCAAGTCTTGGGTATCTTTAATTTCTGTTAGTGCTAACCTCGCAAACAACATGTCGATTTCGATACCATCAAAGGTCATCTTAATGACGGGCACAAATGCATCCACGATGTCCCTCAAGTCGTTTATGCCTGGCTCCTTTTTCAGAATATCTATGAACGAGTCGAAGAAATCATTTCTGTTGATATGGCGAGGAACAACACACAATATGTCCATATCTGCTCCTCTAGCATTAACTCCCAATCTGTAAGATCCAAATTTGTAAACCTTAGCTCCTAAATTTGATGTCTCTGGTATGTTCTTTACAACAGCCATGTCTTTTGTCCATATATTTACAAGCTGAACTAGTTTTCTAAAAACATCCATTCTTTTAATTATTTCATCCTGAGTTTCATACATATCATTGTTATGTAAAAAAATATCAAGTTGTTCAGTTAATTTTAACTCCTCTGGTTTTGGTTTTGCCAAACTTATAGGTCCAGTAACTCCGTGCGTTTTAATTTTGTTAACGGCAGGCAACGACGACGACGATGATGTATTAGGAAAATTTCCATTAGATTGTGTCAAATCTGGCATTGATGACGTTGATTTCAAGAGAGTCCTTTTCTCATCGTTCACTTTCTTGTATGAATGGGCGCCGCCGTTATTTCGTCGTCCGTGAAAAATGGGCATTTTAATTAACTTGTTGTTTGAGGATATCCTGTTTTGTATAACTTCAATTTGATAACTCTACTTTTTTAAATAACTACTAAACTTTAGTGTAAAAAGTTAAGTGTGAAATAATGGGCTTGGGTTGATAAACTAATTTTCAAAATAAAGCAAAAATTTAATAAATTTCGTGAAAAAGTATTTAAATAGTTTTAGAAAAATTTTTTCGAAATAAGCATTTAGATCGTAAAATGAAAATTCTGCGACCGCACGAAATCAAGTTTTAAGATTTGTGATGCATAGAAAAAAACCAATCTCGTTATATAGGGTTCTTACACAGAAAAAGTTTTGTTAATTGGTTTCTCTACTAACACAGGCATCTCAAAGTTAATTGTTTGTTAACTTTTTTGTTATAAAGTGATCTTAATTTTGATCTTATTTTAATTGGTTTCTTAACTTTGATCTCATTGGTTAATTGGTTTCTTTACTAACACAGGCATCTCAAAGTTAATAATTAGTTAACATTTTTGTTATAAAGTGATCTTAATTTTGATCTTATTTTAATTGGTTTCTTAACTTTAATCTCATTGGTTAATTAGTTTCTCTGCTAACAAAGGCATCTCAAAGTTAATTGTTAGTTAACTTTTTTGTTGTAAAGGGATCTTAATTTTATTCTTATTGGTTTCTTAATTTTGATCTCACTGGTTAATTGGTTCCTCTGCTAACACAGGCATCCCAAAGTTAATTGTTACGAAACTTTTTTGTTATAAAGTGATTATAATTTGATCTTATTTTAATTAGATAACTCAACCTTATTATGTTGTGGTGATTAATTGGCTTATATTACGTATCTTTTTTGAAATATCAAGCCACAAAATTTGCTCTGTGTTTTGTTTATTATTTTCTTGACGTTTCAAAGGGCTCCGCCACAAACGACTTGTACTAGTACACCTGCTTTTAACCGCATCAAATACGCAAGATGTAAGAACATTGTTGATACATGCTAACAAAGTCCTGCCTGCAAACAAATTTGGTGTCAGTCACGTCAGTCATGTCAAATTCTACGCGCCAACTCCTGTCAGTTTAATGCTGTATTTATTCCAATTTGAGAATTATAATAAACAACATAAGCACCATGAGCAGCATTATTGTATTAAAAAAATTTAAAAGAATACGAATAATAATAACTGAGAATTATTTAAGATGCAACTTTTCATCAATCAACCATCCGTTGGCAACGTAATAACTAAGCAATAATTAAATAATACTAACAAAATATTTAATTTTTTAAATGTGCCAATGAAAATAAGATCAATAATAAAAATTAGCATCACTTAACAACTTACTTTAATAACAAAGAAGTTAGTTATTTAACAATTAACACTTTGCTTACAGATAGGGTTGCCCGTGCAACCTAATAAAGTTAAGCATGAAAGAATAATATCAATAACAACAATGTATAACGTAATAACTAATTATATTAACTAAATAATTAATAAATTAATTAATGAACTTTAGAAAATCACGGGTAGCAAAGTAACCAATTAAGTTAAGTTAAGTTATCTGTGGCAAATCTTTCTTTGTTGAAAGCCTATAAATTAGTATCGTGCGTTCGCAAGAAGTCAGAAATCTTCAGTCAAAAATCTTCAGTCTTGTTAGCATACACATCTCAACATTTTAATTTGACGATTTTGAAATTCATATCGAACGAATTTATTTCTCTTTTCAACGATCGTTCCATTTTACTGATTTAACAACTGCCTATTTTCCAACATTATAAATTCAATTCTAAACATCTGAAAATCCACAATTATGTCTGTCAATTATGTCTGAAGAGTTGTGTGATTTTGATGACTCAGATCAAATAGAAATCGTTCAGAACATAAAAGATCAAGAAAATGTCTCGATCCACAGATCAGGATTTAGAGACTTCTTATTGAAACCAGAATTACTTCGAGCTATCAATGATTTCGGTTTTGAATTTCCCTCAGAAATTCAGAATGACTGCATACCTCAAGCCATTCTCGGCCTTGACATCATCTGCCAGACAAAATCAGGGATGGGCAAAACAGCTGTATTTCTTCTGTCTACCTTGCAACAAATTGAATTGAACGGCGAAAATGTAAAAATCCTGGTCATTTGTCACACCAGAGAACTGGCCTTTCAAATAAGTAAAGAATTTGAAAGGTTCAGCAAGCACATGAACGGCGTTAGGACGGCCGTATTTTTTGGAGGCCGTTCAATATCGAAAGACGAGGAAACGTTAATAAAGAAACGCCCTCACATCGTCGTCGGTACACCGGGCAGATTATTGGCCCTGGTAAACAGCCACCACTTGAAATTAAAAAATTTAGAACATTTTGTCGTCGACGAGTGAGACAAAATGTTAAACCTCTTAGAGATGAGAAGAGATTTGCAGAAAGCATTTTTTGCTACGCCGCACCACAAACAAGTTATGATGTTTTCAGCAACATTCAGCGAAGACATCAAAAAAACGTGCGGAAAATTCATAAAGAATCCAATTGAGTTTTATAATGAGTTTTACACCAATATTACATCAACGTTTATAACGAAAATCAGAGAAACAAAAAATTGACTGAAATGTTAGAAAAACTGGATTACAACCAAGTCATCATCTTTGTCAAGTCTGTGCAGAGATGCGTGTCACTCTGCGAGCAACTCAACAAACAGAAATATTCAGTAGTGGCAATACATCGATCGATGAAACAAGACCAACGGTTGAAAATATACCAGCAGTTTAAAAACTTTGAAAGCCGGATAATGGTGCCAACGAACTTGTTCGGTAGAGGAATAGATATCGAACGAGTGAACGTTGTAATCAACTACGACGTTCCAGAAGACTCTGACACCTACCTTCACAGAGTGGCTCGCGCAGGAAGGTTCGACACGAAAGGATTGGCAGTCACCTTCCTAGCAAATGAATATGATGCCGAAACGTTGAATCAAGTTCAAGAAAGATTTGAAGTCAACATAGACAAGATGCCTGATGACATTGACAATGCTGTATATTTTTAGTGAAAAATTTGAAAGATATTAACATATTTTTATGAATATATTTTTTATGAGGTAAATATTATATTTCAGTATTTTATGTACAATAATCTTTGTACATATGTATATTTAGTCTCTCTAAGTCTGTATAAACGTATGTAAATATTTTTTAAGCTATCATTTTTTATTTTCATTTTTAAATAATTTCTACTTCCTTCTTGATGTTTCACGTGAAGAAAAATGTAAACGGCCATGGATTGAGTTGTTTTATCGATCGAATCGAAAAAAGACGTAAAATAAATGACTAAACAGTGAATGCGGTCGTGTGTGTTAAGTTAATTTTCAATAAATAGAATAAATTAAAATAAACAAAAAATAAAGTATTTATGTAAATAAAGCTGTTGAAGAGAAAATTTTTAAAAAGATAGAATCTACTTTTATTTCATGAATATACCAACAAACCAAAATAACAACCTTTGTCATATACAAGAGCAGGTCCTTTCCATGCCCTGATGACGGGAACATCATTGCTAGGCATTCTACTCCACACTCGCACAGACGAGATTGACGTATTCGTTAACAATACTTCTTAGAGCAGGGAGGCCAGCACTAACGAAAGTTGAAATGGCACAAAAAAAGCGTTAACGTAATATTAACAAAAATTGTAAATTTGTATGGAGTCTTAAATAAATAAAAACTGAAATAAATAAAAAATTTTCACTGCAGCAACCAAAAAGTTGTCAAGCATCTTTTGACGTGTTAACAAGGCCGATCCAAGTTATGCTCGAACCTTTGCTACCATCTCTGCTCTTATAAATGTGGCATTTATGATCATTGAAATCAACATAATTAAAAAACATCATCATTAAAAACAACATCAGCAGTAGCGACATCATCATCAGTGACAACATCATCTTCATCATCAGCTCTATTAGCCACAGGGGACTACCATCAATTCACCTAAGAGCATGTTACTCACCAGTTTTCATTTCGCTTCGGTTAATGTTTATTAAATCTTCATTCCCATCATCATCCTCATTGCTAGGTTGCTGTGGACCCGATTAATTTTTGTTTATTTTTCAAATTCAATTTCAATTGTATGTACTGTTCCACCTTGTTGGACAATCTAATATTGGCCGTTTGATTTTCAACTCTTTTAATTTTGAAATAAGAGACGGAACTTGTAATTTTTTTATTAAATTTCTAACATCATTAAAGAGTTTAAATCTGGTTCTTAAATGCTAATTGCAAAGTATGTGCAGCACACCTAATTCCTACAAAATTATTAAAAGAATAGTTAATATTGTGAAATGAACCTTCTTTGAAGTGATTTTTTTCAATTAAGTTTCAGTTTGGGTATTATCGTTTTCATGTTGACAAATAGAATCATATTGCTCCTATTGTCAGCAGTGACTGAATAAATAAATTTGATGTATATTTCATATTTATTCAGCACTTTTCAACCATATTCTTAATGTAGACTCCAGTATGTTTATCCTTTAACCCGTCATTTTCAAAATTAACTAATTTATTTTATCATCTTTTATAATTTGAGCATTGATCCCTAAAATTGACCTATTTAGACGAGTGGCTGTATCAATTTTTAAAGAAATCATTTGATTCTTAAGAATATAACTTATTTTTCCAATTATACTAGATGCAGTTTCTGGAATCATGGATTTCACATTTTCTGCATTTATGGAAAAATGAGGAACGCGGAAATCACTGGATGTAAATTTTTTAAAATCCTGAATATTCCATCATTTTAAAAGAACATCCGTCAATTGTGATAAGTTCAATATACGCTTTAACGACTGTTTCTTTCTTCAACTGAACTTTCAAAAAATTTGATTTTACGAATTTTTCTAGTGATTCTATATTATCTGGGTGATTGTGGCAATAGCTCTTATTTTTTTTATCATACTTTAAATTTGTTCTTTGCTGAACACTTTTAAACTCATCATCATGTTAAAGTTTCAAATGACGTTCCAAGTTTGCAGCATGATGTCCTTTTATAACAGCTTTACAAATATTACAAGTGCTTTTATTGTTCATTTTATTTTATTTACAAAAAAAATCTCGGCTGGCGTTTTCTCGGTTTCGTCCCATTCTAAATTTCAAAAATATTAATATAAAAATAACTTTCAAATATTTCTCAAAGGAAAAATTTGCTAAACTCGGAGATAGGTGCTCCAACTTGAAAAAATCATTAAAAACCCTCACCACCCTTAAAAACTCGCTTATTTTATTGTTATTGTTGTTATTAATTTGTTTATTGCTTATTGTTGTTATTAAAGTGTACGATTTGAACCCTAAAAAAGAAAAATTGCTAAAAAACGGCGTATTTCAATTCAATTTTCAAATATCTTTATCATTACAAATATGTAGGAGATTAACTCCCGCAGCAAATCTTGAAGGAACACCTGACGTTTGGAACACCGCGTTTCCAAAAACTTTATCAAGAATCCATTCAGTTGCTCCACAAGCAAAATTTAATAAATTCACCTGGTGACGCTGCAGTTGGGATGACATCCCAACATTGAAATATTTTTCCCAAGAGCAGTTTAATAAAATTTAATTAATTAAACTAACCCTAAAATGATTGAAAATGTTCATTTCAGTTGAGCATTTTTGTAGAGGATTCAATGATGTTTGCTAAAATGTTTGTTCTTTGAGACCTTGAAGTCAATTTGCCCTACAAACTCCATCTGTTTAACTTGCTTCAAAATGTCCGCTCTTAACAAACATCTTAAACGAAATTTATATTATCATTTTCACATTTATTAATGTAACTATAATTATTAATAATTATTATTATCATTAATTTCACAATTTTTATTTTAGTAACAATGATATTATTTTTATCATCTGTGCTATTATTGTTGTCTAAATACGTCAATATCTGTTTCTCCATTGATTCAATTGAATGCACACAGCTGTGCAACCTGAGGCCTGCGTGCAACAAGGTTTGTATTGTATATGTTACTGACCGCTAACAAAAAAAATTTGCAATCTAAAGTTCTTTCACACTAAACAAATATTGAAAACAAATTGATAAATATATTTCTTGACTTTCTTCACTTTAGTTCAGGACATTAACTAAAAAAGAAAGTAGCGAAGTGATGCTGCCCATATAAACTATAAAGCCAGTTGAAAGTATCAAAGTTCTTCAAATATTATATTTACTCTATTGCTGAATTATTGAAGAATTTCAAAAATTTTCAGGATCAGGATTTTAAATTAAAAAAAATGAAGTGTGTCCTATTTGTGATTGTGATCTGCATGTTGTTGGCTGCGGCGTGTCCTCAACTAGACGTCAGTATTGAAAAACGCGCCACTGGAGGTTGGTCGGTAGTTCAACAACTCCAACAGAAACGATTATTTGTGAATAAATTTAAATTAACTATATATAACATAGGAATTATTTTTTAATTTGTTGTTCAATTGTAATTTGTTTAATTTTTCCCTATTGTTATATCACGATAAGGCTGTTTTTAATAAAAATTGTATGAAGATAAATAAATCATATAAAATATATTTGACATAACTGTTATGTACATCACTAATTATTGTTCTATTGTTGATGGGCGATAAATAATTGTTAACGTGACCCTAATTGTGAACATGCTTTATTGTGTTCGTTCAATTCGTTGATTATGGAACTTGTTACTCGTTATATTTATTTAATCGTAATAAAATAGTATACGTGCATTACGCTTATTGTTGTCTAATTAGTTTAGTTTCAACTCTTCAAACCACGAAACACGACAATAGCAAAACAATTCCGTGAAGCAAAACCTTCCAAACTTAGTACTTTCATTAGAAGATTGTTTTATTCAAAATGTTTAAAAAAAATCATTATAACAACCAATTGAACCATACACCACTCACCCACACTCATTCAGTCACTCACACACCCACACTTACAACAAACACGTTCACTTACTCACAATGTCAATCACACACAGACAGACACACACACACACAAACTTGCTTACTCACCTACCTACCTATCAACTCACCCTCAGAAAGCTGTCCACTCGGAGAGCCTTGCAAACAAATCTGGTGGTGCAAAATCTTTCTCATCGGATGTGGCGAGTGCTTGTGTGACTGAAGATAAAGAGTTGACGTGCAGATTTCAACTCAATACAATGCAGTGAAATAACACTTTGGTCCCATAACATATTATTAAATTTTGTTCAAATTATAGTTATAAAACAATCGAATTTATCATTTTTTCGTGCTTCAATCTCATAAACCACATTAAATGTTCTTTTTTATATAACTGTTTTGAAGCCTGGGGCATACGTATATAAATAAGTGTATAAATAATTATCCGTAGATTATCCGTAAAATCTCTAAAGTCCATTCAATTATATCCAACTGCAAGATCAAACAGACCATGTAATGATATGATTTGTAAATTTGTCTGAAAACGTTACATTTTGTCATCATTCTACAATCAGTAGCCGAAAAAATTGTCATAGAAAAGTATGTAAAATTAAAATTATTAAGAATTGAAAAAACACATATTCGAGGCATAAGAATATTCTAGAAATATATAGACATATCTCACAAAAATCAAATTGAAACTTGATAAAAATATTACAAATCACATTTGTAAAACAATTGAATATTCTAAAAAAATAAATAGATAGAAGATAGTTTTGAAGCACATGTACAAAATGTTGTACAAATATCAAATGAAAATATACATAATTAATAAGAAAAAATGTCTTCTGAAAAAACTAACACAAAATTGCTAGATAGGTAGTCGTTTCTTTGACAGACGTAGAATCACTCATAAAATATTTCCAAACTTTCCAAAATTTTGAAAAATGCTTTATGGCACCATAAAATTAAATGGTGTTACGTATGAATAATTTCATATATGACAAGTTTCAATCAGATATTTAAGTATTTTGATTGGCAATGAGTTTTATTAATCAAAACAATTTGACTTTGGATTTCACAGGTAAAATATATAGCTGGATCACTAGCATTATTGGAAATGTAATTGAATGCATTGCATTTGGTATCTTTATTACATTTGGTAGAACATTCCAGTAACGATAGTATGTTGGTTAGTACTGCGGTAGGTTTGGAAACAAAACACATGAGGTTATTTGGCTCTCCTAACATTCCATACTTCTTACCAACCGCTGCGGAGCTAACAAGTTAGCTGCTGACGCAGATGGTATTGAAGTAACGAAAAACAAAATTGGCATCAACCACATTGCAGATCGTTCGTTCTGATTTTTTTCTTGATAAAATTTTTTTCAGCAAATTGTTTTTATTAATGATAACTATTTCTGAAACATGAGTTTCATTTTATAAAATTTATACATCCAAACTTGTTAAACTTAACAATTATGCTGATGACGGGAGGGACTCTGGCTCCCACTGTCACCCCCATTAAATCAGCTGCAAGCTCTCCAGATTTATATTCATAGTTTCCAAAATTTTTGGAATTTTATTTTTATACGCCATTTTACACTAATTATTATTTTTTGTTATTATTATTCTTTAAAAATCAGAATCTGACGGACGCAAAAACTGTCACAACATGCAAGGCGATAATATAGAATGATAAAAGATGGCTTGAGTTTCCACAAAAATTATTATCAATTATGATACAAAAAACTTTTGAAAAATTTTTATATTTTATTTTTACAACCAGTGACGATTCACATAGAAACATTCCCCCCATGCACTTACCGTAATTCACATGCGAAAAATAGCCGAAAATTGAAATTTAAACTGAAATTAAAGATGTAAATACAAATTCTTTAAACATGTTGTAAATTTACAGTTTTACAGCAATTAAATGCAATCTTACATTTGAAAAATGCTTGTTACTTCATTTTAATATATCATTTTGTGAGATTTTTTCTTCTCTGTGTTTGAAGTAAGGTGAATTTTTGAAATTGATATAATTTCTAATCGATCTAGATAGATCCTTCCTACTAATTTCAAGTTGAGCAAACGATAACGTTTGCGGCAGTAGATATAAAAGTGAAATTTTCTTGATTGTCGGTCATTCATTTTGTTTTGTTTGAAATTCACATCATGTATGTGTGTGCTTGAGTGTGTTTGTGCGTGCGTGCGTTTGGTTGTGTATGAGCCCGCGTCATTACGTGCGTGTGTCCATGCGAGTTTGTTTGATAGCATATTTCAAAATACAGGCTTAAATTTGTTCGAAAAATTGTTTAGAATAAAGATAAATAATTTTAATTATAGGACGCAAAATACTGTTATAATATTCGCTGTCGTAACCGATTTACGACGCGACGGGTTCAAATCTTCGATTGAATAAAATACTCCAAACAGTTATTAGTTATTAAACTTTATTTACAGAAGAAATCAACTAATCGTTTATTTCCAGCAAATTCAAACTAACGAAACAATTAACTTTTAAATTGTTCAAAACCTATCGCTATGACAACGTCAACAAACAAATCAAATATCGCTTTAAATAATTCACCGAATCGCTATTCACAAAATCACGAATTTCACTAATCACGAATATCACTAATCTTCTTGCGACGTGCGCTTTTATACTCTTCGCAAGCGTCGTTTCTAGATTCTTCTCGATGGTCCGATTCTAGCATACTCTAGAATGCTCCAGTCATTAGAACATTCTAGAATACGCTAGAATCTAGTGCGTTCGGTAGCACGGTTATAACAATACAGCGCTATAATATTTATACATTTTTATAAAAAATTTTACAAATCTGACAAAAATTTCTAGCTTTCTTCAATCTATTCATCAATCCTTTTTGGTCTTTTTCAACTTGTTGTTTTTTAGCGGTTAACTAAAAGCTTCGCGTAATAAGAAGCCTCGCTCAAAGGACTTAATTTGTTTTGCCGAAAAATGACACCTTACAACAGTAAAAGCTTACATTAACCATCATTACCCGTATTCATAGTTTCACCAAATAATTAAACTTGCACTTGACTTGCTTGGACGCTAACTACCTCATCAGACCACCAACTGACGTTAGGAACGTAGCCAGGAGATGCTTCAGAGTTGAGCCTCCCTCGCAATGAACAATTTTATTAGCGCCAAATTCTAAAAAAAAACTAAAATTTCCAACCTACACAACTGTACGCCACTGGCTCACATGTACAACATCGTTTACTAACTTAACTAGCCTACAACAATCACATGTTAAATTCTTTATTCGCGTATATTGTTGTTATTTATCGAGTTGAATCTAATAAAGAATCGTTGATCTAATAAAAAAATGTTGAAACTCTATGTTTATTCGCTATTTAAATATTTTCTTATAGCAATATATCTAAAATTTGGGCATGCAAATATCACAAATTTAACGTTAAAAAATTTAATTAATTATTTACTACATTAAAAAATACAAATCCCTTTGATAGTTGTTGTACAAATGCGCGTTCTTTAATCCTACTTCAAATAATTGAAATACTTGAGATGGTTGAATATATGTATGACATGATGAGGGATCATTATACGTAAATACGTTTCTCATCCTACCATTTAGTTACGTTTGGTCATCATTCTGCTGAGTGAATAGTTGACTTGCGTAACTGGAAGATTTATTTGCAACAATTAAAAAATTGAAACGTTCATCTCATAAATATGGAGGAAAAATGTTGTTTACATGCTATCATCAATTTATATGTCTCGTCACTACTGCCCGTTACGTTTCACCATCATCCTACAGTAGGTTGCGGGAGAGTAAGCGTAATCAAACGATATACCATAGACTCCATTCAGACGCTGGTAATAACATTTGTTGTACCAATTCCCAGTTGAATAGTCAAAAGCGCAGCTGTAATTTGAGTAAAGATCGTTGTCTCGATCAGGGGCGGAAAAGTGCATCCCATTATGTACAAAATCTAGATTCGGATGGTTCAGAAAATCACATATATCTCCTCTCTATCCAGAAACTTTGAGAGAATATTTCTAAAATTCTGAGCAAACCTTTAACAATTTTTTTCTTGTTCAAGTAGTGTTGGTAATTTAACGTTTTATAGTTGTAGTAGAATTTTTACGGATGAAATTGGTAAAAAATTACTTTTAGTTTTACGAAGAATCATTATAGGTTATGAATTTATGTATTAAAAATTAACAAACCGTGATTTAGTCATATTCATCAGAGAACCAAGAACCATTGATGAGAACTTCAAACCTCAACCTGTAATCAGCCGATGTCGTTAATTGGTGCATCTTCTCCAAGCCCAACCAAAAGTTTTTGTAGTAAGTACCAAACCCTAACTGCAAAATTATACAAACTCGGAACAATTTAGGGCAAAAATGTATTTTTCAAGTGCATACCTTATATGTGTCCCAATTTTGATCGAAACTCTGCGAGCCATCAATTCTCTGCTGAATGACAATCCATCCATTGACAGATGTCACAGGAGTTGGGTTAGCAGACGTTTGAATGTCCAACATGATTGTCTCGTTGACAACGAAGTAGACTAAAATTTATTTCATGACTCAAATTCATTTATTATTATAAAAAATTTATCATATCAATGGGGAAATAAGACATAATTAGTAACTAGGAGTGTTTTTATTATTTAAAGTTTTCGCTGTTCTCTCATTGTGGAAAGTGTGTGTATATTAATTTTGGATGCCCATGAAAAACTTGGTGAGCAGAACAACTTGGCAGCGTTACTTTCTTTACGAATTTGTGCTACATTTCATAGCTAAAATGTGCTGGGGTGAGACAAAAAGAAGTACTCAATTTTTATTTTTTGAGCCCCCAATCTGCCGGCTCAAACTTGATTTTATTATTAAATATCTAACAATTTCTTTTAACAAAAAAGGATTTAGAAAAATGTAATGATAGCATAAAAATGACACAACCTCCAGGATCGACACAGGTAGACAATTCCCAGTTACCAGTGAGACACATGTAGAGAGCACAAGGATTATTGATGCCAGGTAGTGAATTGAAACAAGAGTAAAACAATCCGCCGTTGAAGGTGAACGGAAAGTTGCAGGATTTGTTTGGAGTCAGGGACGTTTTGTTTGCTTTCAAAAAGTATTTACTTAAAATTAAAATTTTACATTATTTCTTCATCGATTTTCCATCTTTCACGCAAAATCGCAAGGTTTAACTCTAAAAGCATGTTCGTCATAAAATTTATAAACACAAAACCACAGTCAAACTTAATTAGGTGACATTAGAGACATAAGTTTAAAAGTGAAGTAAACAATTTTTCGATTTGGGCAACTGGTTTGCATCAAGTTTAAAAAACTTACAACAATCGCAACCGATTTTTTTATCAACTAATTGAATCACAACTCTCATTGCAACATATATAAACAAATTTGGCTTAAGGTTAGGAATATGCATCTGAAACACGTGAGGGATATCCAATTTTGTCGCTACGGCCTGGTTGAATTGCAAAGAAACTCCGGAATTCGCGTGCTAAATTTTACAATGTGCTAATTTGCATGCATTCATTTATATATGCAGTGTGTTCAGAATATGTAAACGAAAACGATCACAAATAGAATTGCGCTATATAAATTAGGGTGGTTGTTGAAGGAATGTCGAAATATTGGTAAAACGGAACCATGTAAAATGTAAATAAAACATTGCTGAACTGTCATGAGTCTGATTTATGGAAAATTTAACTGGAAGAAACGTTTAGTGTAAAAAAAGTTCACAATTTTGCTTCAAACCGTTATCAGTATTTCTATAAACCGTTTTAAATAATTTTAGAATGTTTGCAAACATCCATTATTAATTGAAAAAGGCTATAAAATGATTATTTTTTACCAATAATATTTTTATTCTATTTAGAATGTTCAAGGTAAATGGCTGACGCACCGATCAGTGAAATAATTTCATATTTAAGAAAGAACAAAAATCACTTACAAATAGCTGAAGTTTGATTACGATTGGACACTGTATGAGTATGTAATAAAATGAATTGTTAATTAAAATAAATAAATTCATTAATAAATTTGTCATCAATCAGTTTATAATCAAGTAAAAAATTAACTAACGTAATTTCGCCCTGGCAGGAACATCCTTGGTTAGAAAACTCGACAGTTTAGAAATTTTTTTAAATGAACATAATTTATTAAAGTTTGTTTTAAGATCTAAGAAAAAAAAGAATTAAAATATACAAGAGTAAACTGGCCTCATAAGCTTGGCAATGCGCTTTATTCGGAGCAATTTTGAAATGAACACCACAGGTGGAATGAAACAGTTGGCAATATTCGGCTGGATGACCAGCATCGTTAGATATGTAGTTGAAGGCGTTGCAAATTATGTTATCATCAGTGGGAGAAACATAATGAGAACATTTGGCAGAACATTCCAGAAACGATCGTATATTGGTTAGTACTGCGGTAGGTTCGGAAACAAAACACATGGGGCTGTTTGGCTCACCTATCATTTCATACTTCACATCAACTGCTGATGTTAACGAGTGGACTGGAAAATACAACAAAACTGTTATAAAAAGCACTCTTAAAATCCACATTTCGAAAAACATCTTTGTTGAAACTTTACAAAGATATATTTTCTGAAAGTCTTCACTGCCTGGAGCTCAACTTATTCAGCTGTGACTGCAGTTATTTATCAACATTCCACTTAACATCGGCTAAACATTCTAGTCATACAAAAATCAATCAGTTTGAAGCATCAGCTCAGCTCACATATACCTACCATATATATATACCATGTTCTAATGTTATAAACCAACTAATGTTGCCAGGGAAGGAAACAGAAATGGATTTTATTATATACATATATTTATATCTGACGTATCATATACATACATACATAATATACATACATTCATATATATATATATAAAAAAGAATTACATACAAAATAGGCCTAATAATGTATAAAGCGTTACATGGTCTGTTACCAGGTTATCTGATCAATAAAATAGAAGAAAAATCCGTAATGATGAGTGGCATGAAGCTGAGGTCAGATGATAATATTTTGCTGGTTGTCCCGGATATCAATTTACAGATCGCGTCAAGAAATCTGGCTGTTTCAGGACCGGCTGTTTGGAACAGTTTGCCAAGATTTTTGAAATCTAAAGACTTGAAGCTGGATGATTTTAAGAAGAAATTGAAAACTTATTTATTTGCACTTTGATTTTGATTTTGAACTGTTTATTAATAACTGCCATTGTATACTGTTCTTTATTTTTTTTAATTGCTATGGATGGCGCTTTTGAGAACTTTTTGATTTTAATTGGCGCCTTATTAAGTGTTTTGATAATAAATAATAATAATAATAATACATATTTTATTTTCTATATTTTCACATTTTACATTAGACATTTATTTTAATTAAATTATATGTTTAAACAATATTTAGGCTCTGAAGATGGCATTACGCCGAAACAGCGCTGTTAGCTTTATTCCAGTTTTAGATAAATATGAACTCAAACAATACCGCCTCGTTGAATGTCTTATAAAGAAGTTAATGCAAAATGGGCAAACAATTTCAATGAAATTTGCATATATATATATATATATATATATATATATATATATATATATATATATATATTAGGGTGGTCCCCAAAATGAAAAAGTTTTAAATTTTTTGTCTTACCCCCTAATTTTGTTACCACTCATTAGGTAATACTTGATGTAAAATCTTAGGTCAATTGGTCAATATTTAGAGGTCGCCCAAGGGCTCTGAAGTTTTACCTTATGGGCCTAATAATTAATCCAAATTGCTAGTACAACGTCTTTGTTTTTTATTAACAGATCTTTGTCTGAAAAAGTAAACAACATGGCTGAGTCAACAAGAAAGAAGCAGGATATTTATCTTCTAGGCCAGCCTCTAAAAACTGCCATTCTGGGTAACAAGTTACCAGCGAAAGGTGAAGTGATGCGTCGCTTTCTGTACATTCATTTGTCAGAGAAAATGACAGTTCGCGATAGTGAGACTGCTGTTATAAGAGAGGTACTTCCAATATGGCAACGGGTCATAATTCCTACAACTCAAGTATACAACGCCATTAAGAAGCTGGATGATATGTTTAAACTGTGGCAAGGAGTAAAGAAACATTCTAAGAGAAACTCAGATGCTCAAAAACGTCGAGAACAAGCATTCGTTTATTCACGAAAAAATATTTTGATATAGCACATGCTAATGCTATTGAACTGATTCAGATACAAGAAGACAGAATTTTGCTGGCACAAAAGGAACCGGGACGGCGTGGTTATATGAGTGGTGTAGATAAGAATCTGGCGCTGAAAGAGGCACGCTCGTATGAAAGGTAAAGAAGACAGGTGAACTAGAAACTAAAGTCAGTCCAGGCGCAGGAAGAGATCACTGCCGCTGCATGTTCAGCTGAAATAGAGCACAGTTCCAGTGATTCATCGTCAGAATGGGAATCAGAAGAAGACAGCATTGCCAAACGTGTGCAGGTAAAACGAAGTAGGAAAAGCTTCTCGATGTCCCGTCCACATTGTGCAGTTAGCAGGGAAACTGCTGCAGCACTTGATCGAACGAAGACTTATGATAGAAAGGCGACGTACAACATCAGTGGAGTTGCCTAACACCTTGGTTTAAATGCTGGAAACCTTGACATCAATAGACCCTCAAATCGACGAGCAAGGCATAAGCATCGTCAAGAACTTGCGTTGGAAATTCGAAGGAATTTTTCTCCAGACGTTCATTTGGCTGTCCATTGGGATGGGAAGCTCTTACTTGATTTGACCGGTAATCAGAAAGTTGATCGTCTTCCCATTGTTGTTGCAGGAGCGGGAGTTGAAAAGCTCTTATCAGTTCCAAAACTAGAATCTGGTACAGGGGAGAGACAGGCTACAGCAGTGCACGAATGCCTCTTAGAATGGAACCTAGAGGAGTCTGTTAAGGCATTAGTGTTCGATACTACAGCGAGTAATACTGGAAAGAAAAATGGAGCATGCACCCTGCTGCAACAAAAATTATGGCGTAACGTGCTTCACATAGCTTGCCGTCACCACATATCTGAAATAATACTTGAGCATGCGTTTTCTGCATGCATGTCGTCTAATACGTCAGGTCCAAAAATAGCACTCTTCTTGCGCTTACGAAATGAGTTCAACAGCATTAACCAAGCTGATTACCATACAATTATGGATGATGAAAGCACGAACAGCAAAGTTGAACAACACAAAAAAGGTATCGGTAGCTTTTGCCTAACGCAACTTGAACAATTTCAGCCAAGGTGCGATTACAGGGAACTACTGGAGCTTTCACTTATTTTGCTGGGAGAGACACCGCCAAGGGGAGTCAGAGTTTTGCAACCTGGAGCTCTGCATAGGGCACGCTGGATAGCGAGACTAATATACGTCTTCAAATTGTACATGTATCGTCATCAGTTTCTGCTGACAAGAGTTGAAGAAAAGGGAATCTGTCGCTTCATCGTTTTTGGCATCTATGTGTATCTTAGATCGTGGTTCACGGCTCCAGACCTTCTTAGTGCCGCTAGACATGATCTCCAGCTGGTAAAGAGAATCTAACAATTCAGAGGTGTAGACCGTGAAGTTTCTGTTGCCGCTGCAAACGCATTTTCTAGACATCTATGGTATGTTAGCGAGGAACTTGTTGGAGCTGCGTTTTACGATGATCAGATTTCTCATGAGGAGAAAGTGTTGATGGTTGATGCTCTGTCAGTGGAATCAAAAACAACCAACGACTTCACCAAAAGAGTGCAGATGAATATTAATGACATATATGATGAAATGTCTGTCAAAGACTTTGTGTCTTCGAACACCATGCAATTCTTTGCAATCCTCGGACTGCCTCACTCATTTCTAAACAAGAGACCCTCCGAGTGGAGAGAAGATGAACAGTACAAGAAAGCTTTTGAAGTTGTAAGCGGTATAAAGCCAGTCAATGATTTTGCAGAGAGAGGAGTTGCTTTGATGCAGGATTTTAACAGAGCAATAGTATCGTCTAAAGAACAAAAGCAGTATCTTCTGCTACTTGTTGAGTATCATCGTACCCAGTATCCAAACCCAAAGAAAGAGACATTAGTGGGAGGAAATACATCTCCTAAACAACTAAATGGTTTAACAGTGACACTGGGTACTGGACATAATAATTTTATCAAGTAGTTTGTAACAGTTTTGTCATGTTTTGCAACAAAATGCTAATACGTATAATTAGGTGGTAGCACAGGACACTTCGACTCGCTTGGGCGACCTCTAAATTTTGTCTGTGGTCAATAAAATTTTATCATATTACATGTTATATATGAGAGAAACAAATAAAAGGGTAAGACCTGAAAAATTACGCGTTTTATTTTTTCCAATGTAATTGGGGACCACCCTAATATATATATATATATATTATATATATATATATATATATATATATATATATATATCGCAAGTAGCAAGTTTGTCGTATGTATGTATATATATATACGACAAACTTGCCAATTGCGATTGAGTCACGGTTTGCCTAGCGATTTTTTTTTTGTTTAAAAAAATTCTTATTTTCTGAATTGAAATGTTTCATTGTATCGCACGGTAGGACTATAATGTTTTAGAAAAAGGTTTCCAAAAGTTGACTTGTTAGCGGTACTAGTCACTATTGTAAGTTGGAACAAATACTTTCCGAAAGAATATTTTCTGAACTCATCGTATATGTCTCATATGAAAATTATTTTCTGGATAGTATGAACGTTTCATACAAGTTGTTTTTAGGTGCTAAGTGTCTCATTCTTTGGTGTGCATTTGTACGGAGACATCTTCCTGTCTGCTTGAATTGGTCTAAAGAATGCGTTTTGAAAGGTTTTTTGAAAATATGTTGGTTATTATGTGCGAGTTTATCTGCTTGGAAAGAGAAAAAGCTTAAATTCAAATATTCATTCACAAATTATATTTATAGGATATATATATAATTATATAAATACAAATATATATTGTATATATAAATTACATTGTGTTAAAATTTTCAATGATGCAGTCAAAAGCTTTCCACCGTACATGAAACAATGAAGGTTGAATTTTTATCCATTAGCCACCACAAAATTAATAATTTTGCGCAACTCAGAAAAGTTATTCTAAGTTTTGTATATATTTGTATATTTTTTAAATCAAATCAATCCCTGCATAAATTTGTTAATGTATTATTCCGTAATATTAAGTGAACTTTCGTGCCAAAAAGACTGTGACATCCACACTACACTTTGTATATACACACATACACACAATGTTATGTTTGCACACTGAAGCACTGATTCGCACACTCATGCTTTTGAGTTTCGAACAGTATTCGCGCTAGGTCATCACGCTATAATGACGCGAATAAATTACTTGCCTCAAATGATTGGTCGGTTGTTGTGGATTCAGATGTAGATGTAGCATTTGAACGTGTTATCACAATTTTCCAAAATGAATTAAACAGATATTGTAAAACTGATTCATCACGAAATGCTAAAAAGATGATCAAACAAAGACCTTAGTTAACTAAAGAAATTACAAAGATGTTGAAAAATAAGAAATATTTGTTCAAAAGATATATAAAAAATTCAAGTCAGGAAAATTATAAGAAATTTTCAAACGTCAGTGAACAGTGTAAAAAAATGGTTTCATTCCAGAAAAAACAGTACGGCCATGAACTGATAAATAATAGTAAAAGTGGCTGCAAAAAAACATGGTCCATTATTCGCAATATATTAAATAAAAATAATTGTGACAAAGATAGGAATAGCAAACTGATGTCCAATGGGCAGCACTTAAATTCACCTGAAAAATTAAATAAATATTTCACAGAATTGGCTCAAAATGTACAAAGTTCATTGCCAAAGAGCTCTATACGGAAAGATATGATTATAAAATCAGTGAATGTACCAAATTCATTTTTTTTGCTGGAAACATCGTCTTCAGAGATTATTGAGGTTACTAAATTGTTGAAGTGCAAATCGTCTTATGGTTATGATCACATTTCAATGAAAATAGTGATTTCCACAATCGGTTCGAGAGCAAACGTCTTGGAATATTTAATAAATCTATTGTTTTAAAGTGGTAAATTTCCTGCATGTTTTAAAAATTCAAAGGTTGTTCCTATACCAAAAGTAAAGGCTATATCTGACATCACAAATTACCGACCTGTGTCTATTTTACATTCATTCTCAAAGATTATTGAAAAGATAATGCATATTAGACTGACAAAATTTCTACATAAATCCAACTTACTGTCCGATTGTCAATTTGAGTTCAGAAATCAGCGTTCTACAGAGCTGACACTGGTTGAGTTGACGAGGATAATTGGAATAGCTGCAGAAAAGAAAAAATTTGTTATTAGCACCTGTCTAGATTTATCTAAGGCATTTGATTTAATCGATCACGATATTCTTCTGGGAAAAATGGAAATTTATGGTATATGGGGTAAAGTATTTGAATGGTTCAGAAGCTTTTGGACGGATAGAAGACAGTTTGTGGGGTTTAATGACAGGGAATCAAAGTTGATGCACAATAAAATATAGGTACCTCAGGGAAGCATCTTGGGACCGCTGTTGTTCATTGTGTATATAAACGATCTTCCAAATACAACATCGTTTTTTGACTTTGTTTGTTATGCCGATGATACAAATGTGTTTTGCAAAGGTAAAGATATCAATGAACTAATAGAGAAAACAAATATTGAATTAGGACATATTGTTTCATGGTTCAATCACAATAGATTGACATTAAATGAGAAGAAAACCCAAATGATAGTATTTGGGCCAGTGAATTATATGAATTACAAGGAGCCATATAAAATCATAGTCAACAACACTCTCATCACAGAAAGTAAGACAGTAAAGTTTTTGGAAGTTATGTTGGACCAAAAGTTTAAATTCATTCAAGCCACATGTTCTTAACATCTGTTTTAAATTGGCAAGATCAATTGGGGTCATAAACAAAATCAAATTTTATTTACCAAAATCATGCTTGAACATGCTTTACAGTACTATAGTTTTGCCGCATGTTTCTTATTGTAATATTATCTGGTCAGGTACATGTTCAACAGTAACAAATCCAATAATAATATTAATGAAAAGAGCAATTAGGACAATAACACTATCAAAAAAACTCACTCATGCAAAACCTCTTTTTCAGCAGACAAATAATTTAAGCTTCAACCAACTAAAGCTACACTGTGCAATTTGTTTTGTTTACAAACAACTTTTGAATAAATTACCACAGATGTTCAGCTATTACTACAATTACTGTAACGCAAAGAGAAGAAAAAATTTTTTAAAGACAAATAATTCAAAAACAAATATGCTCTTCAACCATATCATATGCAGGGGTCCAAGAAGCTGGAACCACGTTTTACAAATGGGTTTTCCTGTGGATATCTTTAATGTGAAAAATTTAAGAAATAAATTGAAATTGTTTTTAATAAACTGTGATTGTGATTATTAGATTGTTTTTGTGAAAGTTCAAATTTATGTCATGACATGTAGATGTGTATTCATGTGTTGTGTACGTACATGCTGTATGTTTATCTTGGTTTTTGCATAATAAGTTTAATGAATTGTAGACATTATTAAAATAATTATTTTATTTTGCAATGAATTACAATGAATTCAGATAAGAATGTTTGTGTGTTTGTTATATATAGATGAATTGAGCATTGTTAGTAAGATTACGATGTATATAGTATGTTCTATACTGTACTGGCTGTACTTGTATGTACTTGACATGTATATGTGTCAATCTTGCAAGTATTATATATATTTTTATGAACACTGATAATTTGTTAGTAAGATTGCGGCTTATTTGTATTAATATATGACTGAACTTGTCCGTATATATTTGTAAGTATATGTGTGTATGTATAGTATATATAATATATATATATATATATATATATATATATATATATATATATATATATATATATATATATATGTGTGTGTGTGTGTGTGTGTGTGTGTGTATGTGTATATATGTATATGTGTATGTATATATATATATATATTTGTATATGAAACTGACAATTATATATCATATTTTAAAAAGGTGACTGCGCTCGATAAGTCTCAAGGACTCCTCACAGCCATCCCGTGCCCTTGATTTTATCAAATTTTGTGGCCAAATAAAATATTGTATTATATTGTATTGTATTGTATTGTATTGTTTTGTATACATGGAGCTTCTACTATCTGAGCTAACTTGCCGACCAAATATATTGAGATGCAAATAAATGAATGAAACAAATCTTCATTCATTAATATGTCCTTGTGTTTTATAATTTTTTCATCTTTATTATTAAAGCGAGCATGCTATTTATTTATTTTTCAATCTAATGAAGGAATCTAAGCTAACTAGACATACGAATAGAGAAGTTATCACAATTTCTGATTTGGCCTTTTCCAGAGGTGTCTTCTTCTCGTGCTTCTCACTTAGTGAACGATCGTAAAATTGGTTGTATTTACTTTCGACGATATCCAAGTTCGCATTCAGATCGTTCAAACTTGTTATTATATTTGACGGAAACTCACTCAAATTCATTTTTTATACTATTTAAAATCTATTTAAAACGAAAATCGGGTATACATTATGTCCGCCGCGACAAATGTAAATATCGCTTAGTAAACATTCAAAGCACACTATAGTTTATATATTCACACTTTATAAGCACACTATAATCATATTTTATTGTCTTCAAATACGTAAAACACCAAGGAGCTAATCTAGGAATATTCGAGAAAAAATCGCGTTGATATTATTTTGTCTATTATTATAAAATTAATTATTAAAAAATAGATATAATAGCCTTTTAATAAATAATTTATAATGAAATTGCTTCAGATTAGTTTAAATTTTAAACAATAATTTTAATCTCAATTCTAATCCCCAGACATAAAATAAAACTATCTATGTTTAAAAAATACTTGCGCTTATTGATTTTTTCTGATATTTTGGACATTTAATTTAATTAAGTAAAAAATATACAAAAAATTGAAATAATGACATATTTTCGGTGTGAATTTTTGCAGGACAATGTTCGAAATACCATTTACTTCCCCTGTTTTCCCTCTTTAAAACAATTGTCCAAAACGCTTCTATACTAACTAATTCAAATGAGAAACATAATTACATCATTCTCAAACATAATTACAATACTCGCGCAATACCATTCACGTAGAACCAATTCACACAACACTCTATCAGCATGCATACAAAACCAGTTTATACAACGTTTTACTAGCATGAATACCAGCCATAAAACAAGCGCGCCAAACAAACCAGCACACGCACATTAATAATTAAATGTGTTACTGTTATGTTGTTGTGTTGTCCAAAGAAACGGCGAGGACGTTGCTTCTCTATTAAGTGAATTTGGCCTTCTATTAGATCGTGGATGACTTCTTAATCCAACATCTGATGCACGTAGTTTACCATAATCGGGGCATCAAGTACCAGTTGGTTTCAATTCTCTTGACGTTTGTAAGAGGCATTTTTCAAATCCAGCATAAAACTTGTGAGACCAGCTTTTTTAATCATCTTCCACGTAGAACGCTTTTGCTATTTTTTTAAGTCCAGCCGCGTTGATGTTACACTTCTGAAGTACAATTTTCACTTGAACCACAATTCTCTTCTTTGGCCGACCAATTGAACGACAGCCATTTGATAGTTTGCTGTATAACAATCCATGAGATAAACAAGACTCCGCCATAAGAATAACATCACCTATCCAGCGCAGATGTTGTAACAATAGATATTCTGCCGGTGCAGTACATGCAATCCTTAAACATATTTGTGAGGGTTATTTGGTGGCGCCAGTTTATTCCAAAAATGCTGCGAACACTGCAAAAAAGGAAGGTCTTGAGGGCTTTGATGTGTCGACGATAAGGATAACCATAACGCAGTGCAGAAATGCAAACAGTTTTGTACAGAGTAATCTTTGTCATCACGGTAAAATTGTGATTTAAAATATGCGAATCTTCAATCTGCGAAATGCAGCCAACGCCACTTTAACGCGATGCTCAATTTCACGATCCAGACAGCAGTCAGTACTGAACAAACTACCATGATACATGAATTCCAGCAAATCATTGAAAGCGTCTAGATGAACCACGAAAGGTGAAGCTGGTTTGTTTTGATTTGTACCGAGAGAGAGAGTACCTCGGTTTTTGCTTTGTTGACAAGTCATGCACGATTATAGACACACAACAAGACATTAAAACTATTTTTGAGTGCGGAAAGGGTGTTGGCAGGAAAGGCAACGTCGTAAGCGTATTGGAATTTAAAAACCTAGCCTGCCCCCACTTTAGCCAGAGATCTTTCGTCCGGCAGAAAAATTTCAGACAGTGCGGCAATGTCGATTTGATATCTCTCCAGCACGAGAGCAATAAGAGCGTTCGGACGTTCAAGGTCGCAAATCGAATAAGTCCACAAATCAATTTTTGTTTTTGACTGCTAAGAAAGGTGCCCAATGAGCACGGTTACACATTTAAATAAAGTTGGAAACGAACAATTTTCAGGCCAAATTTTTTAAGCCCTTCCTTTCTTGAAGTAAGCAGTGTGAGTTTTAAATAGGTCTTAATAAGGCTGTTCATATGCCCTGGAAGCTGCCAAAGATATTTGTCATTTTCTTTTTAAGTCTCAGCGACCATCACTCCAGAACCGCCTACGTGCAGCACACAGACGAGAGGCTTCTTATTTCATCTTGAATCTACCTCCGTCACCTATGTTACCATCGCCGCAGATCTTTAAAAATTCTCCTGTCAACGGTATTAGCGCGCAAAACAGACGCAGGAGAGTTTTAACGTGGAAAGAAATTGCGAAAGACCTCGGTCCACTAAACTTTGTTGCAGCCGTCGGAACTCAGTAGCATGGACAGTCTCCAAGACGACTAAAAAACTGCAGCGGCCCGCGGTTAATTTTATATCATGAATGCCGCCTGACGTGTGGTTTGCGATGAAAGTTTTTCTTCTCATAGACGATATGCTATCTCTAGCTTCGAGCTCCATCCACTTGGGTTTTGTTATTGAAATGTGCCTTCTGCGGGTTTTTAAATCAAAGTTAACCTTTTTCTAGGCAGTTTGGTAACTAGTGCTATCAACCCGGGTCATCAGATTTCGGCGCCAGAAACTCGCTTTCGCCCCTTCTGCTGTTTGCATTACTCATAGGGAGCGAAGAAGACGCCAACAGCTGAACTTTAGAAGCAGAGCCTGTGTCAGGAGGGCATTTCCATGGACTTATAGCTACATAGCTGACTAATGCAATGCAGCCCATGAGACCCATACTCCACTATCCCCATAATTTTTCAATTAAAAACGTAGTGTACAATTAAATCAACGATTTGATTCTATAAGTGATGACGTAGATTGAAGTGAAGTATGAGCATTTTTTGTTATTTAAAATATGAATTTAAACTACGAAAAATCAATTTTATTGAAAGGCTGCTGATCTGATAAATTTATAATCTCTCAACACATTTTTAAGAGGTGTTTTAAAATAAAAAAAGTTATAATGTGTATGTTTAGGTAGATGACATTAAAACAACAGATATAAACATATAACATATAACATAACATAAACAGAAAATAGAGAGGCGCGAACTGACGTTCCTATGCCTCCATCAAATGAAAAGCTTCTATTGTATTTTAAAAATAATAAAATAAATAAATGAAGTAAAATAAAATACAGTAGGATGAAAATACAGATTGTTAATGATAAATGTCTATATATACATATATATATATACATATATACTTGATATGAGTGCTGCATTTAATTGTGTCGATCATACTCGTCTCATGTATAAACTCTCCACAAATTTTTTTCTCTCTGATTCAGTCTTATCGTGGTTCGCTTCCTATCTTTTAGGCCGCACCCAGCAGGTTTCTTACAACAACACCCTCTCTGACATAAACAAACTATCGTTTGGTGTCCCCCAGGGATCTCTGTTGGGACCTCTGTTGTTTCTTATGTACACTGCTGATGTTTTTGATATCATTCAAAAATATGAGTTCAGCTCCCACGCCTTTGCTGATGATATTCAGTTATTGGTTTCTTGTCCTGTTGATTCGATTGATGCTTCTCTGAATGAACTGACTGACTGTCTCATCGAAATTGGATCTTGGACGAGTATGAATCAGTTAAAGTTAAATCAATCTAAAACACAAATATTACCGGTTGGTTCTTGGCAACAGCTGTCGAAGGCCAAAATTTCATCGATCAGTGTCGGCAATGACATCATTGAATTTTCCACATCTGTCCGTAGTCTTGGAGTTATTATTGACTCAAACTTAAAGATGGATTTACATATTAATAATTTAGTGAGGGTCTGCTCCAACCAACTCCGTTTATTACGCAATGTCAAAAAATCACTAAACACGTCTGTTCTTCAAAGCTTGGTTTCCTCTTTCGTCTTTTCCAGACTAGACTACTGCAATGACCTTTTTTATGGTGTCACCAAAAGGTCTTTTTCAAAGCTTCAGTCAATACAGAATCGTGCGGCCAAGCTGCTTTTGGGTGGTTCGTGGTTCGATCATGTTACGCCTATTTTGAATAAGTTGCACTGGTTGAGGGTTAAAAAACGTGTTTCCTTCAAGTTGGCAGTTTTGATGTTTAAATGTGTCAATAATACAGCACCTCCCTACCTCATCGATAGATTGGAATCATACAAATCTCATTTTTCAAAATATTCCTTCCGATCAACCGAGCGCAATTTATTTTTTATCCCGACCACAAAGTTGGTGACGGGTTCCCGCAACTCTGCGGTTCTTGGCCCGATTGTTTGGAATGGTTTACCTCTATACTTACGTGACCCTAACCTATCATATTTACAATTTCGAAGTCAACTTAAAACTTATTTATTTGCACAATGAATGTCCGTCTTATTTGTCTATGATTTAGTAGCGCTTTTGAGATTCAACAATAAAAAAGCGCTGTATATAAATTTCCGTAATAATAATAATAATAATATATATGTACATACATACACATATATACACACACTCACACAGGCATCAACCCACACACACACACACACACATTAACCACAAAGATGTCAAAGATAATATAAACATATAAACTATGACATTGTGCCAAGCGAGGATCCCCAATTGAACACCATGTCCCTAGAATTCATATGTCGATCCATATATAGAATAATTATATCCATCCAACTTCATCGATCCAACTTCATTTTAAATGTTTCAATATCTTTAACCATCACAATGTCCGCATCCAAGCCGTTCCATAACTCAACCACCCTATTGGAAAAACAAAATTTCCTATGATTCGTGTTAAAACTATGAGTAGACAACTTGAACGGATAACCCCTGGTACGATCATCGTTAGGTTTTTTTAACACAAGATAACACGATGATAATACGCTGTTCCTAGTTATGTTGAAAACTGTGATAAGATCACCTCTGACTCGTCTATACCTCAGTGTGGGAAGATCAAGGAGTCTTAATCTCTGCTCATAATTGAGTCCAATAAACTCTTTCACCATTCTTGTGGCCCTCTTCTGAATCCGTTCAATATCTTCTATAACTTTCAAAACCAGGAAGACCACACCGAAGCAGCATACTCTATCTTTGATCTGACAAGGGATTTATATAAGATTAAAAAAGTGGGTTTAGGTAATTTCATAAAATGTCTATTTATCAATCCTAGAGTTATATTACACTTATTAATTGTATTATAAATGTGTTTATGAAATTTCATGTCTGGTTCAAATATCACCCCCGAATCTTTAACAAATTCCACATTTTCAAGAAGTAAACCATTCATAGTATAAGATCTCTTGCCACATGCTCTACGCCTATAATTCATAAGACACATTTATCATCCACATTCACCCCAAGCTCCCATTTTACACACCAACCATAAAAAACATCCAGACATGCCTGAAGGGCCTCCATATCATCATTAGAAGAGATACACTTGAACAATTTAGCGTCATCAGCATATAGATACATCCCAACATTAGAATAATTCTTACATAAACAAAAAATATCATTCACATAAATAACAAACAAAATTGGTCCCAACACACTGCTCTGTGGAACCCCACTAATCATTTTAAAATTATCAGACAAACTTCCATTCACACACATTGCAAATGTTCTACCACTAAGATAATCAGAAATCCAATCAACCACAATCCCATTCACACCATATTCGCATAATTTTTTAATTAACTTGTGATGAGGAACTGTATCGAATGCTTTCTTAAAGTCTGTACAAATCACATTAATTTCCTCGCCTTCATCAATCGCAACACTCCCGTCATCTACCATTTTTAGCAACTGCATCGCAGCTGATTTATGTGGCATAAACCCAAACTGTCTAAAATCAAATAAATTATTGGTAATAAAATGAGACATAAGATTATCTTTGACCAATGTTTCCATCACCTTACAACAAACACAACAAAGAGATATTGGTCTATAATTTGTTACATTGCAGACATCTCCTTTTTTATAAACTGGCACTATTATACTGTGTCTCCATTCATCAGGTATCGTACGAAGCTTTAATGACATATTAAATAAGCTACATACAAAATGTGCAATCTCTTCACTACATTCATATAATACTCTGTTGAATAATTTGTCTGGCCCAGCTGATTTATACTTATTAATTTTTTTAAGTTTAGATAAAACTTCCTTAACTGTAACAGTTATATCGTCCACCGATGAAGTAAAATACCTACTACTGTTGCGAGTTTCTTTAGATATAAGAAACAACAAGTAAGAATATTTATAACGTATTTATTTGCGCAATACAAAATAAATGAAAACGTGTTCGGCAATGCAATTAGACAAAGAGAAGTTCGATCGTAAAATGTCGCAAGAAGAAGGGCTGTTGTCTTTGTGTTGAAGCTATATATAGTAAGTCGTCACATGCTTAGATTAGGGATGTGCGGTTCAACAATATTCCCCTACCAGATCATCAGCGCAAGCTGTTGATCGATGCTAATCAAGATATCGAGATTGGAGGTGAACTGTTCTTCCCGATCTTGTGGTTCTCCGGGGTGATGAAATGTTGGTGTCGATGGATCGATTTGGGTGTGCTTGTGTCGACGTAGATGTTTCTGTTGTTGACATGTCCTCGTCCGTTGATGGAGATAGCGTTGACGTTTTTGTTGATGCTGATGTGTCGTTCGACGATGGAATTAATTTTGTTGAAGGTGTTGTAGAAGGTGGTGTCAGCGCTGTGGTCGTTGGCATGGGTGACGGTATTGATGGTGCCGGCGAGTATGCGGGTTTGAGGCGGTCTATTGCCACCGTGTCCCTATGCCCCTTTTTGTCAATGACGAAATATTTTGGGTGTCGTTCTACCACTGTGTAAGGTCCCTCGTATGGAGGTTGTAGTGGTGAGCGGTGAGCATCCGTACGAATAAAAACCTGTTCTGTAGTGAAGAGGTCTTTTGGAATGTAACTCACATTTGAGGTCTTTTGGAATGTAACTCACATTTGTACTTGTTCTTGGTTGTGTTGCTTGTAGGGTCTCCACCCAGCATTTGAGTTTTAATGCATGGGTGTGTACATCGGTTGTCTCTGGCCGTGGGTTTGGAAAATCTCCGGGAAGGCGGAGTGTTGTGCCGTAAACAAGTTCTGCTGGTGACAACTTTAGGTCTTCCTTCTCCGTTACACGAATGCCTAATAGCGTCACTGGTAATACATCCGTCCATTTGTCTGAACCGTGAGCCATAAGTGAGGCCTTAAGCTGTCTATGCAATCGTTCCACCATACCGTTGGCTGCTGGGTGGTAGGCGGTGGTGTGAATATGTTTAATGTTTAGTAACTGGGTGAATCTCTTGAAAGATGAAGATGTGAACTGGCTGCCTCTGTCTGTTGTAATTGTTTCTGGGATTCCATACAACGAAATCCAGTTTGAAAATAATTTATCTACTATTGTTTCCGTTAGAGTATTTTTGATGGGAATTGCTACTGGCCATCTGGTGAAGACATTGGTCCGACTAAATCGATGTGTACATGCTGAAACCTGCTGCTTGGTGGAGGGAATTCTGCTAGACGTGAAGCTGTATGTCGATGTACTTTGCTGCGTTGACATTGCAGACACTCTCTGCACCAGTTACGGATGTCTTTATCAATGTGGGGCCAAAAACATACCTGGCTCTAATTATTTTCAATGTTGCTTTCGCTCCTGGATGTGACAGGGAATGGAAATTCAGAAAAACTGATTTCCGCATGCTTGTTGAAACTAGAGGACAAGGGGTGCCTAACGAGGTGTCGACAACGATATTGTTTTCTGAGTTGTTG